GGTTTCATATAGTGTAGCTAAATTTCGTTTTAATTGAGTTTTTTATCATTTGAAGCCGGTCTTCTCTCCGGACTACGTTTGAGCTTCCAACTCAATCAATCTGTTCCCGCATTTCTCCGGATCCTTAATCAGCAGTTTTGTTCTCATTTCCTTCCCTCAACGCATCGATCGTCTCGCTGATTCCCTAGGTTGCTCATCGGACACCCCAGGGATTCAGGCGTTTTCTGCATCCTAATTTTCGTTCGCTCCGCTCGCTTTTTTTGCCCTGCACATTTCGGTAGCTTTCGTTTGTGTGCCTGTCCTGAAAAGGGTCTAAGATTTCTTCGTCATTGCTAAATTTGTTGCCGCTAGACGCAATAATGCAATGATTTCGCCCAGGACTCGAATGTTTCTCGACAAAGTATAAATTAAAAGCTCATGCAGCAATCAACGGTTGATTAATAATGAGTGATTCAATGTGATTTGAGTGATACTTCTAGCGAACGCCCTGATCAAAAATTTAAGCTAAAAAACCAGCAAAAAGTTAAATCAAACGCTCGAATCAGTGATCAAAACTTTGTTTCCACTGCTAAATACAATCAGAACTATAAAATGAATTTTCTAGTTAAACTGAATCAGAAAGATCAGTTGAAGGTAAATTAGGAAAAAAAAACATTTCCAAAGGCCTTCTAGATTTTGTGTCGAAACCACTAAGAATGCCAAGTAAATGAGATCCTCTTTTTACTGTTTCGACCAAAACAGTTTGTTCTGCTTTGACTGTTGAAATTGATACAAAAAGCTGGAATCTGCTAGACCGAATTATTACGCCTGAAATATCACTGAGCTTCAAAAAATATCCTGAGGCAATTCTCCTATTCTCCTATTTTTTAGTGCCAGTCAGTCATAAAATCAAAACTTTTCAGTTCAGATTTTTTTTCCAGTAACCAAGTTTAGAATTTCATGTTCAATTTTGTCGCGGCAATTGAAAATCAAAGATGAAAAAGCACAACAGCCAAAACTACAATTGCGAGATGGAGTGCAATTACACTTGAGCCCAATTTCAATTCTCAACTGGCTCATTTGATTTTATGAGAGGATAGAGTTGTTTCTGATTGGTTTTAATTTAATTACATGTTTACTTGCCCTGAACCATCTGTTTATTTGGAGTTTCACAGAAGTTCTCCTTTTTCAGAATTTTTGTTGCTATGGCTGCAATGCCTGGTTAATCAATTCAAATTTTTAAACTACTATGTTGAGTCGTAGCGACTCGTGGGAGAGCACTTTTGATGAATACAAAAAATCTAGAAAGATAATTCGCCACACCCTCAAACGATAATAATGCATGTTTTCTCGCCCTCAACCGTCGGTTTGTTTGAAATTATAGAGACGTTTTTTGTCCTAAAATTTTGCTTTTTTCTGGTTATTTTTTGCCATGTTTGGAATGCTTTGTTAATCATTTTCATTTGTCAACCGTAAAGATTGAGTCGTAGGTACTCGAGGGGGCCACTTTTGATGAAAAAGAAAGGAATCTAGAAAGATAATCTGTCAAAGCCCATTTAAATCCATGACTGTGTTCTAGAACAAACTCATATGGTAGTATTGTTTTCTTGACCTACAAAACAACGTTTTTCTTTCTTTTGGTAGAGGAATTTAAAATAGTTAATAAAGCTATTTGATTCAATACATTCGTGAAAGTCTTTAATTATTGTAATTACAAAAACGTTCAGGGGACCAAAAATTGGCCAGCAAAATCAATTGTGTTGTACTATAACTTTTTTGCCGCATTACAGTTCTCCAGGCTAAAACAAATGTTTGCCACTCACCCGTATTTATTTGTTCTGGTATTGCACCGAGCCCTGCATGAACAGAATTGCGAAAGATTCTTGTTCAACTGAATAAATCAAAATGCTTTATTTCAAAAATTTTTTCTGCTAGTATCTTGAACTGCTCAAAATTGGTATCACATGCCTTGTCCACATGTTATCGTCAATAAGGCTCAGTAGTTGTCACAAGGCAGAACTTATTTCCGCTGAATTTGACAAGAATTTGTAAGGAAAATGTAATGCGCCCGGGGGAGAAAATTTTTTTTCTCGATATCGGTGGTTTCAGGTAGCTTTTGTTTTTCTTACTAATGTTGTTATCACTGACTTATTTGAATCCCAGCTATCAGATACGGATTTTGCATTTCTGAAAATTTTAAAATTAAAAGAGGCGTTAGTGAAATCAAGTTTCTTTAAAAGTGTTTCAATAGGGCTACATGTTCGGTTTTAGGGCTTCCAGACACCATTGAGATATCATCTGTATACGCGTGTACTTGAGGATGTTCTTTTACAAAAATATCAAAAATCTGGTCGAATTCCATGGTATTGTAGTTAAGCCATACAACACTTAAATTGGTATAATCAACACGCGGTTCTTAAATTGGTATAATCATGTCGGCTTCTTCTACTTATGGAAATAACCTTGTTCACTATTTTTGAGTGTAATTCTCCCTTAACGATTCCCGATAATGTCGCTATTGCTGACGCATTGGATGTGGCCGCATGTTAGAAGTCATCCGGATCGATCTCTGGCTTGGCGATCATCACATAGAAGAACATAATTATCAAATCTTCCCTTAACGATTCCCGATTATGTCGCTATTGCTGACGCATTGGATGTGGCCACATATTAGAAGTCATCCGGATTGATCTCTGGCTTGGCTATCATCAAACAGGTGAACATAGTTATCAAATCTTCCCAAAATGATGGCAGCTGCGGATTATCAAAACCCAAAAACAATGCAAAAATAAATGCCCTCCCAATTTTTGTCAGCAGGTTGCTCCATGAATTAGATTTTAAAACGGATTTTGTACAATACTTGGGTTTCAATGCAGTTTTATGCTTCACAACCAGAAATCAACCTAACTTTCGTTTCAACTAATTCCAGAAAAGAAACTAGAGGTCAACAAGGTCGCATGGCAGGTCTTCAGACAATAGACTTGAGCTCAAGGACTTTACAATAGCTTGAATAACATACGCCTATGTCCTTATGTCATAGGGACAAAACAAAAAAAATTCGAACCGAAATTTCAAATTTTGTAAAATTCAAAACTCGACTTGTATTTATGCGGTATGTATGTATGTATGTTTGTATGTATGTATGTATGTATGTATGTATGTATGTATGTATGTATGTATGTATGTATGTTTGTGTATATGTATTCGTGTATGTATGTATGTATGTATGTATGTATGTATGTATGTATGTATGTATGTATGTATGTATGTATGTATGTATGTATTTAGTTATAAATTTTTGCATGTATGCTAGCCCCAAATTTTGCTTATAGTTGATTTAGATCCTGTTATTAATCAGCAAATACCCTGCCTAGCTAACTGCTCATTAAAAACACATACAAACTGGAACTGCTTTTTGCAACTATTTTACAGTTTTTCAAACAAAAAATCTAATAAACTTTTAATTAAATTGCAGTTACTTTTAGCTTTAAAGTAATCGCTGGAATGTTTGCCATTTAAATGTTTCTGTTTGTTTTATAAAATTTCTATAATTTTTTGCGACTATTTTGGGGCTACACCGCGAGTAGTTTTTCGACCGCCCAGACTAAATTTTCACCAGACGCGACTAATTTTTCGACCATGTAGCGATTAACTTTTCAACCGCTGCGACTAATTATTTCGACCATGTCGTGATTAAATTTTTACCACGCCGCGACTATTTCCTTGACCACTGAGACTATTGTTTTGACCATGCAGTTGCTAATTTTTCGGCCACATCGACTGTTTTTTCGTCCGCCGCGACTAATTTTTTGACGCTCGCGACCGAGACACGCTATTTCGAGTTTGTCTGCGACTTACAACCCTGTCGAGACTATGGGTTTTAACTATGGGAAATTAACTTTTCCGCGACCGACCAAGTCAAAACATTAGTCGCCGGCCTCGACCAGGGGCAATCTGTAGCATTCAAAGTTATAAAATAGGTTTTTAAACATCTTGGGCTCACACGGCTGTGATTTGTAATATTTTTCATAAGAATTTTTTTTTCAGTAGCGCTTGCTCAACTGGTTTGTCTTAAAAAATACCAATGATGTCTGAGAAAGTTTATGCATACCCAATGTAAATGGTCTCCTTTTATAAAATGAATAACTAATTTGATTCCCCTTTCATTTAAATCCCCCGAACGTAAAAAAAGATACAGAAATCTATTTTTTTCCTTGCAACGACAAAAATTTTTCATATAAACCGGAATGTCATCAGCTGTTATTAATTAGGACAAGAAAAAGCTTTTGGGCGCTAAAAAAAACAAAAAAAATTATCCAAAGCCATAGATTGAAAGGGCTCGAATATGATACCTCGATGGTTTATACCCTCAATTGCGCAAAAAAAAGCAAACTAGGCCATCGTACAATCCCACTAGTTCATGAGCGGCCGGAACAAAAACCGTCCCCCATATTTTAAAATAAAGTGAACTCGACGCTGTTTTTACGCTATCTAAAGTTTTGGCGTTTGAGAGTCAAGTTGGCCTTCTTTTCAATAAAAAAACTTTCGTCGAACATAGGATAAAGATATTGTTGAACAGATGCAATTGATAAATAATTCAATTTCAGACTGACAAAAACAGGTACGACTTTCGATTTCAGGAAAATGCTCTTTTTTAACTAAAAACAGAACGTCATGTCATATTGGAGCCGGACCTTTTGCTTTATTCGCTGTTCACTTTTCTAAGGTAAAATTTCCGTGGGTCGCATCGGCCGCGGTTTAGTTTTCGTTGCCACGCTGGTCGAGGTTAACTTTTCTTTGATCGCGCCGGTCGCGGACACATTGCCTCGGTCTGCAAAGTCTGAAAAACTCGAGTTTTTTTCGTGGTGGTCTGAAAATACCCAATTTTGGTCGCAAAAGTCTGAAAATGCCAAAAGTCGGCCACGACCGTCTGATCATTAAACGGCCATCTCGACTGGGGAAGTAACATAATTTCACGATAAAACATAAACTTACTGGCCCTAATAACAACAACGTAGAAGTCTTAAATAACAGCAAGGTAAATTAGACACCAGTCTGTACAAATAATATATAAAACTTCCACATGGCATCATTAAGTAACCTTTTTTATGTTATTGTTATTTTAGAACTCGTTTAGTCATCATATTACACTACGACCAAAGCATGACTACATTTTTTGGCTGTATTAATTCATCTCGAGAAAATCCTAGATCAGCCCCTGATTCATATAATACTGAAAGTAGAATCGTTGTTTGACATCGTCTGGGTTGCAGTCCGCTAGCTCGAGGTTGTCTCCATTGATTGTTATGCACATGCTAGATGACCGAATGGATCTGGCTTGAATGGTCGAATTTGGTCCTGGGTGACTCCAAGTTTGACTTTCTTTTCCGCTGCATTGAGACAGCAGAACTCGGTTGTGTTTTTGATCGGATTCCAAACAGACCTCAACAGTGCCTCGAATCTCGTTTGCGTCTGTCAGATGGAAGTTTTGGGTACTCTTAAAATGACATATCGGGTACAACTGAGCAATGCCGGAGTCCTTTTGCATGGTATCGACGCACAGACCACTAAGTGTCCTTAAGCCACCACCTGCTTGAAGTTTAACAGATGGCACATACAAATCAGGAAGTAAATTTTCTAAATACCATTTAAACGGATGGCATTGGAGTCTCTTACGCAACTCAATTCTCTCCGAAATATCTCCAGCATCAAGACTAACTAGCTCAGGATGTCGCAAGTAAACAATCTCTTTGTATTCGTCTAACCAAACATCGGCCAAGCGTTTCTGGTTTATCGATAAATAGTTGTCAATGTGCGATTTATGCGGGGAACCCCTACGGAATAGATGACAAACATGTGAGCAAGGTATAATTTCGAGACGTCCACCGCACATCCACGTTTTGAACGAAAGTTCTAGATTTTCAGCGCCCCAAACTTCGTACCCGGGATCGAATCTACCCAACTCTTCCCACCATCGTCTGGAGATAGAGAAAAGACAACCTGATATCGTTGGCATCCTGACAGGATCTGCTTTTGTTTTTAATAGTTTCCGTTCACGATCGGGTAGGGCTCGCCAGCGTTGCAGTAAGTCCCATCCAAAAGTCCCTTGGCTATCAGTGGTTGGATTACCTGAGAACTCGAAGCCTTTGTCCACGATAGTATCATGAGCTGGAGCCGCAATCACCCTATAGTCCTGCTTGATACGGTGTAGAAGAGGTTCCAGCCATCCCGGACCCACCTCGACGTGGGAATCGAAGAAGACCAAGACATCCCCTGTGGCCTTGTCGCTGCCAGCCATTCTTGCTTTGATGAGCCCGAGGCGTCGACTGTTCCGAGTTAGTTTGACCATGGAAGGGAATAGGAACTTGACCGCGGAAGGAAGGGTGTCCTTGATGTAAGTATGATCGCTGTGGTCGTCCACCAAAATGATTTCGTTTAGGTACTCTACAATGAAACATTACTTCAAGATAACTCGCCTTACTCCAAAATGAGATGTTTTCAGTATCATACGTTTTTTGTGGCAATAATTGGCCCATAAATGGCCCACATTATAATGGATTTGGATGGATTGTATTCTTACGAAAATAATCGAATATAATGACAATATAATTGATTTCATGGTCTAAATTTGAAAGAATAATGGTCTATAATGACAACTTTTTCGACAACATTTTTCTATTATAAGAGATTTTTATCCAAGAATCTATGGCGCGGAAGTTCCTTTTAAACGATAGTCATGTGCAGAGGCACTTGTGATAGAATACAAAAATAGCGCAGCAGCTAGTCGAAAATTTAGGAAAAAACCACATAGTTGAGAAAAAACTGAACACGAGATAAAGCGGAGCTTAGCACACTTGCGATACATCATAGAAATAGCAATGCAAGTTGGCAGACAGGAAAATAAAGCCACTAAGTCCAAAAAATTTTAAAACACTTCAATCTCCAATGCTTAGAAAAAATTCAAAATATTGTCTGGATTCATGTTTTCTTTTCGGAAAGCAAGTCCGGAAACACAATCGACAATAATTAATGAAGAAAACAAGTCCAGAAACACAAACGACAGCAATAAATGAATATTCAAAAATAAACAAGACTGCTCGTATCAGGGCGAAGCCCTGAATGTTCCGACTGCCTTTTAAAGTTTATGGAGCAGCAGTAAAAGCATAAAAAAATTAAATGAAATAAAATAAAATGAAAATTTTTTTAAAATTTGAAATTTTTTGTGAAAATCATCCCCCCACACGCCATATTAAGTACAAAAATATAGATTTAGCTCCTTGTAACAAATCAGTTATGGCAAATAAGCTTCTTTCAACCAATTTGGAACGATTTATAAGACGGATTAAATCTCCGCTCTCGCGTTAATAGCGCGAATTATATGCCAAAATGGCAATCTTTAAACCCTCATAACTCTACAAAAAATGATCACAGGTGAAATATCTTTTCAAATTTAAGCTCAGGACAACAATACCTTTTGAATGATATAAAAAAATTCCGTCAAAAATAGCTAGTTAAAAAGTCGAAATTTGTCTGAAGAAAAAAAAACCCACCCCGAGCACAAATATTCCGTTACTTTGGTATCGAAAGTCGGAACAATAACCAGCGGCAATTGAGCCGACAACACTGAAATAATCCCCCCCCCCCCCCATAAAACTGATATGCTTGCCAACTGCTGCCCTGAGTGACTCAGCAGTTGGCAAGCATTTTGTTAAACTAGTTGTTAACTTGAAAAGAAAATGTGTAGTGCGAGAGCCTGTTAATCGCAAGCGCAATTACTTCTACGTTTTCACATATTCGATGTGTTTCCTGCCTTGAGACCATTTGCAATTGTCTATGCTGATACTTGTCTCGACTAATCTTATGAAAAATTGTAAATCTTGTTAAAAATGCCCCCTCCCCCACACACTATTGCAAAAAAGAAAATCGTTACGAGATATACAAATTATACATTATTAACCCCTGATCTACTTCGGTATGACAATTCATTACAAGGAACCATAGGGTGACATTTCATTACAGGGAACCATAGGGGATAGTTAACAAGACCCTAATTAACAAAGAGTAAGTGGGCGGAAACTGACTAACTGAGTGGCGTCCTGATGAGAAGACTGGTGACAGTTCGCAAGAGAACAGAAGGTGCTTCATTGAAGAAGATCACTATTATCGAAGTAGAGGGCAAATCTAAACAAAAAGCATGTGGTTTGGACGTCCCAACAACGTACAAGTTTTGAAACAAAAAAATTTTGTCCATAAAATATTTAGGATTGTTTCAAAAGATCGATGACACATTTCAAAGTGGAAATATTTTCAAGAAAAATTATTGAGACAAAAATTTCATCATCCACCGAACTTGGAATATTTATACTGTTTTTTGTTTTTTATTTTCAAAAAAATATATATGAATTGTTGAACTCGGAACGATCCTTTGTTGGAATATTGATAAATATTTGCAAAAACAATATCTATCTAATTTATAATTATTTAGTTTTTGTAGTTTTGTTCTTGCAAAAGATTATTCAGGAGCATTTTTCAACAAGGAAAAAGGCCAGTCCAGTTCAGGGGTTGTATCAATTCTTGTGCATCCCTGTCAATAGTTTTTTTAGAACCTGACCTTTGTCGTAAGTGATGTTGCTGCAATCCTGGTGTCTGAAATCCCTCACCCGTCTGTCCAGTGGGATCTTGTCACTGGCCACTATGTCGAAGTTGTGCTCTTTGAATCTCCTCTCCGCCTCTTCTTTCTCAACAGCCCCAAGGTGCATTACGCCAGCCCCATTTTGGCCTGTCACACATTCATCAAAAAGTTGTTATCGCACAATAAAAAATTAAAACAAGGATTCTTCAAATCCGGACTCCGGTCAAAAGGTAGTCTTGTCTTAAAGTAGACCAGTCGTAAGCCAATCACAATGCAGTGTCATAAAGTAGACCAATCACAATCAACATAAGAATTTTCTTTTCTCTACAGTGCTGATTTAATTTATCCGGACAAAACACTAAACTTGAACATAACAATGCGTTTTGCTCAAATTAGGTTGACTTTAGGTGAAAATGATGAAAACAAAACTTTATTAGAAATTCAGCAGCAGGGGCGGATCTAAGATTTTCTCGAGGGGGGCAGGTTTTCAAAAAACTTGAAAAAGGTTTTGAAAAAATTGTCGACTTCTTTTTTTAGGTCGACCAAATTGATCTTCTGAGCTCTCCCAAACCCCATTTTGACCAAATTTATCTTCACAGCCGGCCAATTTTTGGAAAACAGGCCAAAAAGACGTCGTTAGGCAATTTTGGAACATGCTGGCCGAAAAATCATGTTTTTTTTCGGCGCGCGCTCCCCCCTTAAAATTATTAATTTTGGCGCCGAAGAAAAAGTTTAGTGTCAGTCAGCCCAAATTGGATGTCTTAAAATAATGCAAAGGGGAGGACCTTTGGGTCGGCAGTGAGTAGAACCCCTCAGGGGGAGGGGCGTTCAATCTTTCTCACCCCTCCTCCTAAATCCGCTGGTACAGTTTGTGTTGCGAAAATCGGGCTCAAAGTTTTACTTGATGAACAAACTTTTTAAATATTGAGATACAACAAATCTAACGGAATTGACTCAAAACTTTGTTTCGATAACTTCCTCAATGCTCAGCGGCACAAGCCTTAAGAAAAAAGTAATTTGCGCAAAACAATTTTAAGAAATGCTCTATACATTTTAAAAAATATTTCAAATAAAATAATGTTGTTTATTATAGTAAAAACGACTTTTTTAATACTTTAATTAATTTTTGCAGAATAGACTTTTTCAAAAAGTTTATTGGTTTACGTAAGAGGCTCACGTTGATATAATAACGTCAGTCATCGACCCAGTAACTATTGCGTAATTTTGTTTGACTAAAAAAGTCAAAAGTGATCCATTTTTGTGGTAAAATTTTGAGCCTAAATTTCACAAAACCAATTGCTCCATAATAATTCTGCTGAAACTCTAAAAATGTTTTGTGTCTATCATGTTTCACCTAAACCTAAAAATTCATTGTAATGTTCAAGTTTACTGCGTCGGTCCGGTTAATTTAAATCAACACTGTATACTAATTGGTTCACGACGTGACTAATTTCCCGGATAGACATCTATAGAAGAAAAATGCTTATCATACAGTTTCATAAATAAAATCTATGGAAAAAATGTTTATCATGCAATTTTCATACAAATTATGAAACTATTTTAAAGATTTTTAATGAAAACTTTTGGTCTACTTGCCTCTTTTGAAGTTTGAAAAAGTGATGGAAAATTTTGAATAAAAAAAATGCTAATCATACAGTTTTCATGATTGAAAATTGAATGATAAGCATTTTTTGTCAACCCGGTTTATGGCATGTCTACTTTTTGCTACGTAACCTTCAAATGCCTTTTCACGGGTTATTCTACTTCAACAGCTGGTAACTGTGGAAGTATACAGAAAATTTTAATCACGGTAATGAAAGCAAAAGTTAAATTAAACTTTTTTTAAAATTGTTTGAGCCATTGTGTAGGCTAGTTATAATGAAACAGCGAAATGAAACAGGAAAACAAAAAGTAGCCTAAAATGGTTTATAAATCGTTTTAAAAATGAATTGGAATTGCTTAGTGATTCATCGGAATCCCAGTAAAATTGATTCATAAATCAAAATATATTCAAACCAGGCTTCTTCGACACAGACATTTTTTTGATGTTTTTTTTTGGATTCCAAAATATGCTCAAAAAGGTTTTAGTGTGATATCACTCGGCTCCTGAAAATCAATTTTGCGCAACTGAGGAAAGATTTTTCCCGCAATCGAAGCAAACAGAGCATTGAGGAAGTTATCGAAACAAAGTTTTGAGTAAACTCCATTAGATTTGTTGTATCTCAAATTTTAAAAAGTTTGTTCATCAAGCCCCTTACAACACTTTCAGTTTTAGCCGAGGAAGTCGATATGGCCTTTTTACGTTGATCAGCTGGTTGGAAGTAACAAAAGCGTACGGTGTGTTTTTCCGCAACGTTTCGGATATTTCAAATAAAACTCGACAAGTTTGGTATTCTAACAAAGCATATTGAACATGATTTGGATTCCAAAGAAAACATGAACTTTTTTCAGTAATTTGCCCTAAGAACCAAAAAAATCAGACTAAATCGCTCAAAATTTGATTGGAAAAAAATTAAATTGATATGAAGTAAAGTAGACAAAAAAGGCTAATATAGACCCACAACATTTCAAAGGCTATTTACAATATATAACTCGTTCCATTCCGATAATTTTTGTTTAGCAAGACGAAAAAAAAACAAAAGCACACCCGAATACAAAGTTCCTCCTCCTCTCAGTGGTCTCACCAAAAATACGTGTACACTTATTTGCTCAACAAAAAAAAACTATTGAAATTTCATTTGAAATCCAAATCAAATAACAAATGGTTTTAATGTTATTAAAAGTTTTCACACTCAAAATCCTACTCGGCAAATTAGAAGAAAAAACATCAATTTACCAACCTGGACTGTTGTCGGTTCCAGCCATTGTTAAATTATAAAACGGGTCTCTCATCCCCACTTCCCACTGACGAGGAAATACTGAAGACTCCCCCTCCGTAACCAAGATGTTCACACCTTTATAGTCCAAAGTCCTACTTCTTTCATCTACGCTTTTGTAGTCCCCTCTCGCATGATTTCTATTACGCTTCTGGTTCCCGCGGAGGTGAACAGAGATGTCATTGGAGTGTCTGTCTTTTGGTTTTTGAAGAAGTTGGCATGTTGTGTAGATTACTGCAGCTGCTATTAGCCAAGTGCACAAATTGCGTCTTCGAACCAACATCAGCCGAATCATGCGCAATACTGACATCTACGATAACACGCAAATATATCAAAATTGAAATGCAGCACCATATTTATAGGGAAAACCCACACCTTCTTCAGAAAATGGGGACTAAAAGATTCCAACTTTTGTTGGATATATCCAGAAAAAGGTAAGACTCACTAGAAGAATGGACCCATTTTTGAAGAGTTTTTAATTTCAACAATAGCTGAACAACTGATTGCGATACTGATTTTCTATGTTACGCAATTTACTGCTTTGTTTTTGGTAGTATAATGTCAATACAGTGGCGTGCGCAGAAATTTATTTAAGGAGGGTTATTTTTCGAGAAACTTTGAAAATTTTGCCGACCTTTTTTTAGGTCAATTAATTTCATTTTCCGAGCTCTTCGAAAAAACAATACAAGCCATATTATGTCAAAAATTGTCTGCTCCGGCGCAGGCAAAGTTTTTTTTAAAAAAAGGTTAAAAAAGCCGTTTTTAGGCAATTTTTGGAAAATTTCAACCGAAAAAATGCGTTTTTTCGGCGCCCCTCAAAATTATTCATATTGGCACCGACTTACACATTTACAGATCAAATCTTTCAAAAAATTTCGCAAAACGTCATTTTCGGCAAGTTTTCAGCCGTACCACTGAAATTTTAGGGAAAATGTGATACTTTAGGGCTTTGAGAACCCTCAGAAAATATTCAAAAAGACTTCAACACAAACTTATTGACGAAAGGCCAGATCAACTCCTGGTTTTGTGGCCAAAAATTACTTATTAATAGAAAATAGTACCGTGAGGAAATAAAGTAGTTTTAAGTTCCCACCATTTACGATTTTCTGTTGCGAATCAAAAGTTGGTCTGGATTGTCTGGAACCTATTGTTTGTAATAAGACTCGTTTTAACTTCAATGTAGATTTTTATGGAATCAATTTTTCAGCGCGAAGTTGTGAAAAAAGGGATTGTTCGTTCAACTGAATTGGTTTGGGATATTTCATATCATTTCAGTGTTCGAAAAAGAGAACAAATGCAAACACTTGAGAAAAACTTGATAGACTGAAAAACAGCAATTGACGCTGAAAAAAAAACTTTTTTTTTCAAACTCATACGTTATGAAATAAAAGATTATTTGTTTATGCTATGTAACATATTTGTTTTTGTTTGCCATTTATCTCCCGATATTCCTTCCTACCGAGGAGTATTAGCTAAATATAAACTGAGTAGTAGCTGAACATTTATAAGAAATCTAATGATTCTACCAATTTCTTTTTTCGTACTAGTTCATAGAAAAATTTTTTAGATCGAATGAATCTTGTCTTATTTTCTGATACTTTGTGTGCAAGAAAAAAATTGGAAAGACACAAACTCGAATTAATCTAACATCTATAAAACTCGTCGCAAAGAGAGAAATTCGGTTATTTTATAAAAAATCCTAACAAAGACAAAAATTCGGGTTATTCTATAAAATAAAAAATAGACGTAGGCGATGTTCCACAGGTTAATGAAAATGCTAGCATTATTTCACTACGCGACGTCTGTCTTTTCTATCTGCGGCATTTCACAGCGTTGCATTATCAATACCAAATTCCGCCTTTTCCAAGAATGTTTTTTTTTTGTTCCGACCATTTGAAAAATGTCCACGCAAAATCAGATACCACAAAAAATTATCATGACGGGTCGGGTGATATATCATATTAAAGCCCTGTCAATTTTAAATCAAACGACGAAAAGTGCGTAAATCTAATTTTGAAAAAAAAAAAAATTTTAGAATATTGTCCCAGTTTTGAAAAAAAAAACGGTTTGAAATTTTTGAGTTAATTGCGAGCAATTAAAGCAAGCGAGCGGGATAATTACAGAAGGACAAGCCATGAAGATTCAGCTACGAGCAATTAAAGCAGTCGAGCTGGTTTATTATGGAAGGATAGTTATTATTTTTCCGACCATTGAAACTGGGGACAAGCTTTGTATTTGGGTGTGTTTCAGTTTTTTTTTTCGTTTTTTTCCACGCACAATCAGCTTCCACAATTAATTATCGAAGTAAACTCAGTGATATGTAATATTGAAGCTACTTCAGTCGTGATTCGAACGACATTAAATAGCTTCCAAGTGATGTGAAAAACCGGTTTCAAAGTAGCGCTCGTTATACGGAATTTTACTGTTTTTTTGACTTTATGATAAAAAACTTTATTTTTACTATAAAGAAAACTAATTTGGGATGTTTCAGTTAGCCCTTGTTTGGTATAAAAAAGTTATTGTGCAAAAATTAGAGAAAAAACTGTATTATTTTTTTAAATCTTTTTTTTTGTGTACCTAATTTCCACCTTCATAACTAAAATCGTTAATTAAACCTCATTCTAACTAACTAGCTTTATATTCATATGCCGAAAAACATTATTTTTCTAGCACATAATAAACCTTGCGCTCAAATAATCAATAGAAGCTTCAAAAGATATAACTTTTTTCCTGACTTTTTATAGAAAATTGCCTTTATGCCAGATGCTTTTACGTTTTTTTAGGGGTGTTACTATTGAGATTTTAACTATTAGTGTCAGATCTGATTATATTCAGGTTGACTTGTTACTGTAATGAGCAAGATCAATAAAAAAAAACGTTTTTGAAGGCATGTTAAATAAAAACATGAATTGCGGTTGTTTTTGATTCGCGTTACACTTTACGTGAACAGATTAAAACGCACGTTTGAGACCATTTTAAAATCGGTACACTGTACACCATACTACACGTTCTTTTTTATGGCATCAAATTTGGCATGATAAAATCAAACGAGTCTTCTCAAAAATCAATGGTCTCCATTTGACTTACACCAGCTTTTTTTAAAACTATTATGTAACAAAAATTGTTTTGATTCCAACTTTTTTTTTTCATTTTGGGATGAACTATACAATCGACGTTCCGAGAGAGTCTCTTTCGAATGGGGCACTCCCATTGGACGAGAGCAAAGATGTGCTGGCCAATGAGAGGGAGCGACTGCTGATCCAACAGGCATACGAGACAGGCTACATCCACGACGCCACCCGAGACTTCATTCTGCAACGAACTCGACACGCCAGCATCGATGACGTCATCACTATTACGCTGAGGAGTCTGAAGTTACGCGACATAGGTATGCTGTCAATGAAAATAATTTATTATAAAACATTTAAACTTCGCTAAGTACTCCATTTGGGAGACTAACTAAAATACTCGCCGTAGAAACGTAAAATAGGTGTTTGGCCAGTAGGCAGACAGCCTTCACTTCATTTTTCCCAGAAAGCAGAAAATATTGACAACATTCAAAATTAATTGACTGAAAAAGAATATGAAGTGTGGTTTCCGCTAAATCATAAAATCAATTTGGATAGAAATAGATTTCAAACCAGAATATTTCATATTGAGATTTTTCTGAAAGTATTTTGACAACAAGCCAAGTTACTTAGAATTTTATTAAAGTAATCTGGCAGTTTTTATTTTACTAAATTGGATCGCTAAATTCCTAGTCAAACTGTGAAAAAAGCTACTAAAATCATAAATATCTTTCGAATCACGATTTAAAAAGCCTCAAACTGATGTATAGATCCAATTTGAACTTATTTGTGGTACATGAAAGAAGGTAAAAAATAACACTAAATACTTGATCTTTCTCAGCATAGTGATCAAATCTATGAGATCATTAAATTTTTTTTTAATAAATCAGAATAAACTTTTTAAAAAATTAGGGTTTCGTGTTAGGTTCGACTTTTTTTAAAACCAAATGCAACGAACTTTTTGTAGCAAATTAGGCAGATTCTTTAAGATCCCGCAAGGGTAACCTATAGATCTGCAAGTGGCGTGTGATCGCAGCTATAATGAATTACTTTATCAATATTTGAAAAAAGGTGAGAAATATTTACTTGTTGAGTGGTGAGTGAACCTGAAATCTACGCGTTCCAAAGTTTCGCACTATCTCAATTGCTATTTGATCCTTCATAAACTGCTCATTTGATACTTTGAAGATTTTAGCCAATACGCTGAAAGCGTAAGACGAACTACTGGCGCAGAGACAATTCAGCCACAGACAATACAGCTGATTTAAAATACAGACAATTCAGCCAAAAAATTCGGACAATTCAGCCAAAGACAATTCGGCCTATTTAGATTAAACAGACTAGATAAAAGGAAAAATTAAAACTTTTCTAATTTGATTAGAGTCCGAAGGCTTCAACACTTTAACAAAGAAATGTGAAACATCAAATAACAAATTTCAAAGATCAAAACAAACTTGCTATGCATAAAGTTTTAAGATTGTAGTTTTTTTGCGTTTTGAACGAGTTTCTCATTGGCGAGTGAATACTTGGGCCTCGGTTTTCTAATAACATCACCGGACATCAGTATCTCTACATTTATTTCGGCATTTTTTGCTCATCTTTGAAACGTGTGATCAGCTTGGGGAGGGCGAGGTGCTTTGTCGACACAAACTTTTTGAAGCTGCCATTCCATGCCTCCAATGCATTGTTCGTACGAGGTTCACCGCTGAGCACCCGATTGAAAACGTTCCAATGGGCAATGTCAAATTTTGGTTTGACGCGTCTTTTCCCTCCACAGGCACCAATATAGGTGTCTTCAAATTAGTCCGATAGACTCTGAAATTGCTCTGAGGGATCCTTTTTTCGGAGAGCCTCAAAAGCGAAAATAACGTCATCAACGGGAACGAATGCCAAGCAAATCATTTTTTTGACATTCAGCCGAAACTTATCATCGTCCATGTACTTGCGCGTAAATCCAAGTTTTTGTACCTTGCGCCATTTTGCCTGGCCTAGATGGAAGAAACAGAATTGAATATCTGTACCAGGCTGCATTTTCCTTATGGCGTTGCGAACAGCGGCTTCATAATCAATGACTACTTTTTTTTCAAAATTGCTCTAAGCAGTCTAAAAGTGTTTCATATTTGTCTTGAGTCTTGTTGGGCAGCAGAGCTTACACCAAGGATATAACTGCGTTTTCGATTACACCATGAATAGTATAAACTTGGTAAAAGACATCTGGTGCCAATGAAAACGTTCCATCGCAATGACAGATTTCCGACTGAGAAAGCAAATCAAGCGCTGGTAATGTTGCAAAACTAAAACTCGACTGTCCGACTTACCAGAATCAAAATGCAGGAACGTATCACCGATGTGTGTGAGTTTGAGAGGTTCAGGAATTTCGTCGACGCTCTCAAGGTTTTTTGGTTTTGGCATTGTTTCTAAGGCTTGCTGCCTGATTCGGTTTATACTCCGAAGAGATGTTGAGTAATTCGGTATTGTAGGCGCTGCATAAAGAGGCAGGTCAATTTGGGCGTTGAAGACAATCTGTCGGGGAGCGTTACCAGTGTTTGCGGCTTTTTCTTGAACTTCGTTAGCAAATTTCTTAGCTTGAATTTTTGAGGGGCTCGGTAAATGAGCATGCTCGGTTTTTAAGGTGAATTCTTGCTGTTCGTCCAAATAACCCACTGCTCTGCAATTTTCAAATGTACTTTGCCATTTAGTGAGACCGTTCTTAAGTTGGTTTTTTTCACGGTATCTATAACCATCGAAACAAAGATGCTTTTTTCCGCGTTCAGATGTTACGAATTCCATTTTACGACAACTTTTGCTAAAAGTGAAAGATTTAGAATGATTCAGATACTAATCAGTCAGTTGTTCAAGCTAGTTACTAATGAAGATTGATCAACGTTCATTGTGTAAATGGACAATCTAACCGCAAAAAGTAGGCATTAAACGCGGTACTGGTTTCTGGTTTGAATAAAATTTTAATCGCAATTAGTTTATCTTTTAAAGAAGTTTTATTTTCTAATTATTTTCTACCAAGTACGAAATTACCTAATAGGCGGTTGTACCCTCCCCAGCCTAAGGCATGATAAGAATATCAGCGTAACTGTGTGGCCAGTACGTGGTAGGGGTGGTCAATCCTTTAACTGATATCCTTTTTGACCGCCTGTAAAACTCCCAATCTCGGTTCCACTTTCGCTTAAATTGGTTAACTTTTAAGTATTGTGCAGTTTTTTGTTGAGTTAGATTTTTGCTTAGGTACTATTCTAAAATTGGAAACATAATGAATTGCATAAAGTTTTATTATGTTTAGGTACTTTTGTTTCTATTAATTATATTTGTTTAATGTGCATTTGAAAGGAATTAATTATAAGTCGTCTAATGAAAGCTTTGATGTTTTGCCGCATGTGAAAAGTTTTAGCGCGCACGTTTAAAAACTTTAAAACTGTCTGAATGTCTGAATTGTCTTTGGCCGAATTGTCTCACTCATTTTGACTGAATTGTTTGAATTTGAAATTGGCTGAATTGTCAGTGACCGAATTGTCTGAACACCGAACTACTATCGAACTCACAACTGATCCAAATTGTTCTCAAACTAATTGATCTTTTTATTGTTACTACTCTCGAATATTTGTAATTTAGTTTTTTTCAGGCAAACTTCGATTTTGCGACTAGTTATTTTTGACGGCAAATTTCTATTTTATCTGAAAAACTCATGCTGCCCTGAGCTCAATTTCAGAAAAAAAAACGTATTTTACCTGTGGTCATTTTTTGCATTGATGAGGTTTTCCAAATTGCCAACTGGGCCAATTTCGTATAAATATTGCTCGACATATTTGGTGTTAAGACTGCGTGAGCGGCTATTTAAGCCAGCTGAATTTGTACCAAATTGAAGGGATGCACGCCAGTTGTTCTAAATAAAACGTTAGTGTATGTCAAATAAATCACGTTGTACTTTAAATAAGATGTGGGAAGATACATTTCAAAAACACCAAAGAATCGTTTTCCTTTTTTCAAAAAAACTCGAACTCAATATTTCAGAGTATTTTAGTCAAAAAGATTTATTTATCCCAAAAACTAAAGCTCGAAGCAATTCAACTGATCTTCATTAAATAAAACTGTCGTAATTGAGTCTTTGATACATTAAAAGGACACCTGAAACTCTAGACCACCTTCAGGACTTTGAAAACTGGCCAATCTAAATTTACCTAAACTCTAGAAAAGTTACTGTTAACATTTACAGCAGATAAAATCTGTAATAAAGTTTGAGTTTGAATAACAAACAAAAAAAGATTTTGATGGGAAAAGTATTTAGCTGGAAGAAACAAAATGAAATGAATCTGCGAAAGGAACGTGTAAGGAAAAAAAAATTCCTTACACGTGTAAGGAGACCCCTAATAAAACTCTTTGTTGTTCCCAGCTTTTAAAAATTTGGTAGGAACTTTGTATTTGGGTGTTTTTTTCTTTATTGTTTGTTTTCCATGCAAAATCAGCTAGTACAAATAATCATCGGAGAGAGTTGAGTGATATACCAATCGTGATATATCAAAGCCCGTATTGAAGCCGTTTCGGTCGTGATTTGAAGGTCATTTGAAAATTTCGAGGGTTTTTTCCCAGTGTCGAGAAAACTGGACTGAATTTTTTGATTTTTCGTCTGCATTCGAGCGAGCGAAGCGAGCAAGCACGCGTATTTAGGCTTCATTATGGCAGTTTGCATTAGCTTTATTATGCTCAATTTCAAATTTACTCGACTAAGTATTTTTAGTTTTTGGAGATTTTTAATGCCCTTTTGGGAGTCCAAAACTTCAACAAATTAAAAATTTCTTGCAAAAAAAGATGAAAAAAATTTTGAATTTGTTTTTCGTTTTTCAAGTCATTTTTTGTTTAAAATTGCTGTTTTTGTGTGTCTGTATAATTACTGCTGTGGAATTTGCCTAAACTATAGTTTTATGTCAGATCCTTTTATCACACCACGCAGAAAAACTACACTAATTTGAAAAAATATGTACATGCCATTCACGCTATCTGTTCTCGGTTGGGAAGGTTCGTGCAAACCCTCAGTCTACTTTATTATTTAAAATTAGTCATTGTTCTGATGATTGAAAATGGGGAAGAATTTTGTATTCGGAAGTGTTTGTTTTTCTCTTTTTTTTTGCTTTTTGTTTTCCGAGCAAAAATCAGGTACCACAAATAATGATCGGACTGGGTTGAGTGGTATATAATACTAGAGCTCTCGCAGTCGTGATTCGAACCAATTTTTAAAATTCGAAAAAAAAATTCCCAGCGTCGAGAAAAACCGATTTGAAATTTTTGATTTTTCGTGTCATTTCGAGCGCGAATAAAGTGAGCGAACATTCTAATTTAGACCTTTAATTGCTCAAAATCTTACAAAGGCTTAATGTGAAAGGTAAAAACTAATTTAACTTGGGTGAAGTTAGTTTACTTTGAGTATTTTACCGCTTTTTTGGAATCAAGAGTTTCAAAAAAATTTAAAACAAACAGCAAAAAACTTTTTTCTACTCTGAACTTTTTGAACTGTTTTTCTATAAATTTTTCTACAAAAATGGTGTTTCAAATTGCTTATTTTCGTATGGCTGTCAAATATACATAATCTCTTGTTTTTTGGTCTGCTCCTTTAATCACACCTCGCCAAAAAAAAACGAAAATAACTTGAAAAAACTTTTTTGTATTTTTTAAGACTATGGTCGGAATATTCTGTGCTACTTGCACATTAACCGGCTATCCTTGTTTTATGTTTTCCTCTGTCTCAATATATCTAGACATCGAACATTGTGATACTTGATGATGGAGAGAAACTTTTTTTCTATCAAGAAGCGAACTCTCTTAAGAAAATTTCACAAATATAGTTGAAAGTTTCATGGGACTAATTGCTATTGGTTGGTAAGATTGTTTTACATTTAAAAAGTGCTGTAGAGACATAGAATATAAAAGTCTGAACAAAAAGTTATAATGAAGAGTTATATGGTTGCAAAATATCTTTTTTCAGGTGGTGTGCAGTTCTTCTACCGGCTGACAGTTTGCAACCTGAGTGGCAACTTCATCACAGACATCTCACCCCTTCTCTCATGTCCCCATCTAGCCAAAGTGGACCTCAGCTCCAACCAGATCACAAACTTCCCACATCTAGGTTCTTATCTACTTTATTCAATGCCAACCACCCCAAACCCCCCCCCCCCCCCCCCCCCGCCCCCAAAAAAAACCCACTCGCCCCTCCACCCTTCTTTCAATTTATAGATTTGGTCAAGAATTTCAAACACATTAATAAAAACTGTAAATATGGCATTAATATAGGCATGAAAAACAATTTGAACAACCTTCTGATATTAAATATTCCTACTTTTAGCCTTAAAACTACAAGGAAAACTCAATATAAGCTATGTTCGGGGAAAAGTGAAAAAAGAACCCCTTCTTTTTTAGACTTCTGGGCATCTTTTTCCCGTTTGCGGATGTTGCTGCTGCACGACAATGGAATCGGGAGACTCAGTTGTGTCCAGGCACTGTCATTTGCACCTTCCATTGAGTTCCTCACCCTCTTCGACACTCCTCTGAGTATCAGACCCAGCTACAGACACCACGTGGTCAACTCAATCACCACTCTCAAAGGTCACAAATCAATTAAGTTGGCCGGTTTTTCTTTGGGGGAGGGGATGATTTTTTTAAAAGTCGAAATTGATTTTTCGAGTTCTGCCAAACACTTTAAAGACTCTGTGATACCAAAATTTACTGTTCACGGGTAAAACTTGAAAAAAAAAACAGACTTGGAAAGTTTTGACCAAGAAATCACTTCCTCGACTTAAGTATATATTGGCGCTGAAATATGCCATCGGAAAAAATGAAGTTCGTAAAATGTTGGCAGAAGGTCAGAAGAAAAATCGATTTATCCACGAAGGCCCATCGGTTTTTACCGGTCTTTAATTCTTTCCATTTTTCAGAAACAACTTCACACTTTCTTTTATCGAACTGGCTGCATTTTTAGTTCTGGATTGCCACGTGGTTTCGGACGAGGAAGTAATTGAGGATGCTCATTTCACCTCGGATAAATTCAAGACTCAGGCCGACACCCTCTACCTCCCATTGGCCGAAATGCTCACAGTTCCGAAAAAGCAATCCAACGAAGAAAGCGAAATATCCTCTATTTATAAAACAGTCACGAGAACCAATCAGATTTTAGCCAAATATTCGCCCGTTTTGCTCATTCAGAAAACGGTTCGCGGGTTTTTTGCTCGGAAATTTAAACGATACCTGGTCGAAAACCGGATTTGGATTCCAAAAGATATTATGGACGATGACAAGGAGATAAGAGAGGTTTCCGATTTGGACACTTCCGCACCACCAGCACCGCCGCTGGTCGAGCAGAAATCGGAGAACATCGAGTCAAATAAAGGCGATAATAGTAGACCAGGTAAATTTTCAACTTATGCTTTGATGCATGATCCTTTTTTTAAATTAAAAAAGCTAGAAGATTGCAGCCTCGGAGTCGTGCTATATACATATTGTTTGCACTTTTGAATTGCAAAAAAATGGCAAAGAACCTTACTTGAAATTAAGAATTCGTATGAACTTCGAAAAAAGTCAGAATTTTTTTTAAACCTAATTTAGTTTATTTGGTAATTATGTTCAAGGCGAGCCGAGAGCAGTTCGATTCGAAGGGGACATTTACTTGCCGAGAGACAGTCTACCGGAACAGATGAGCACACTGAAGATAGTAGACAATCGACCAGTTCCGAAAGAGTACACGAGTCTGTTGCCAGAGCCACCCGTCTCCACTCCCAAAATTCAAACCAAGGTGGTTTTTCCTTAAAAAAGTTATGTTCTTAATGAATGATTTCGCTTTTAGAAAGCAATAAGGACAATCCTTAAAATGTAATAATAAATAGACCCAGGTGGTTTCTTTATGGGTCTCAAGTTTTTTGAACCGAACTGAATTTTTTTTTCAGGTTGACTAAAACATTCTAAGCTCTGCTGAAAAACAATAAAAAAAAAACCCTATTTTGCCTAAGCACACGAGTTGTAGCTAAACGTTTAGAGAAAAAAATTTCGAAAGTTCTTTGTGTCCGTTGTTTTTTTTTTCACGAAGGCGATATTGGTACTCAAAGCGACTTTAGAAAAACAAAAGACTTGCTGGACCAAAAAATGGATCTCCAAAATGGTAAAAGTAGGTAAGGTAGTTCCATGGGAAAATGGCAAAAAATTTCCAAAGGGTTGTTTCGTCGCGGCCACTGGTTCCATCGATTAAATAATCAGATAGCCTTCTTTTCCTCTAGAAAATAATGCAAAATTACATTGAGAAGAAACTCAATAAACATCAAAACCAAAAGTTTAGGGTGTCAAAAAATCAATCACTTTCACATTTATGGGGCTTTGATTCAAATTGACGGCAAGAAACTTTTTGTCATGAAAAATGAAAATGTCTATTTCTAATCATTTCATGGAAGCAATCTGAGAAAAAGACCTCGAAGCTTCTGATTTCCATTTACTCGTAATTTTTTCTGCAAAAGCATTTGCATAACTTTAAGAAACTGATTGGCAAAGTGTCTTGCTTCACTGTTTTTCACAAAAGTAACAAAAATTGAGCCAATAAGTTTTAGTTACTTTCAGCTTAGAAATTTTTAACCAAAAACTCCGAGCAAAAATTTAAGCACAAACACGCAAAACAGATTAATTACCTTAATAGATTATTTGTTGTTCCAATTTTTGGCTCTTTCCTTCTCCCCCTTCCCCTTCATTTCAAGTTTTCCTTTTTTCAACTGTATCACGTATTATTATGGCTGAAAGCGTGATGTTATGAAAAGAGTAGCGTATGAAGAACAAATGTGTTTACAATGATTAGTTGTTTCACCAAGCAAAACTTCATTATATTATGGCTACGTAAAGTTAATTTTTCAATACTTAAATTTAATTGTGGAGGGAAAGTGGAAAGGAGCCCAAATTTTGAAGCAAATAACAAAATATTTCAGGACGGGTTGGCTTTTATTCCAGACCATCTTTACATACAGTCTTTTAACTAGTCAAAAAGATTTTGATGCATCGAGTTCAAAATTGAAAAAAAATTTCTGCAAGTTTGTTCCGAGTTAAGTAAAAGTGACGGAATATTTATTCTTGGGGTGTTTTTTGCCAGACCAATTTTGACTTTTAAACAATCAATAATGAGTACAACTTTTAAAGTATCCAAGAACCAGTTAAATTTTGAGCGCTTAATTGCAAAGATATTTTATTCTTGCAAAGATATTTATTTTTAGATAAGATTATAGGATTTTGAGAATTGCTAAAAATTGCTTTTAAAGCGTAAGCGGAGATTTATTCTTTCAAATAATTTCAATTTTTCAATAGTTTCAATTTGGCTTGAGCATGATGTTTAGTGTTGTGAATGCAATATTAGACGCTAACAACGTCTTTTTTAAATTGGCATAGCGTGTGGGCAGAAGTTTGCAAAAAACAACCCGAAAAAAAAATTATTTTCTTGGATAATTTTGTCTGTTTTTTTTTTGAAATGATGGTTTAAAAATCCGTTTTAAAGTTAATTAAGGGTAGGCGACAGGAGGACATTTAGGGCTTTGCTTTCATGCATGCAGTCTTGTTCAGTCTTATTATTAGAATACGAGACGCTACACACATCATGGAATAAGTTTTAAAAAAAAACTAATAATAAAAAAAAATTATCCGGATCAGAAATCACTGCAAATCGAAGTTAGACAAGCTAAGTAAAGCAAATACGCAGTTATTACGCGCAAAAATTGTGTTTTTTTTACTTCAACATGCCTGTGGGAGATGGTTTTCAACACAGAGGCGAAACAGAGCTTCGCACCTTTTGCGATACCAAACTTGTTAAAAAGTTTCTACAAGATCAAAAAAATTACAGCTGCAAAATTTTTCAAATTTTGTCTCGAATGATGTTCAACTTGAAGAGAGCATGTCTAGCAGCACAATCACCGGCAAAAGAATGTATTCACAGTGAATAATCCAACAGCGAAGAAAGTTGTTAATCAAAAAGGTTGAGCTATAAGTTTGAAACTCTACATTTTTTTTGTCCTCCTCTCTAAAACACGCGAAATGATGAAAATCTGTTCACTGCTTCAAAAGACTCAAATATAGTTCCATAAGAAAATAAAACAATAGCTGAGACTATTTAAGCCGACGAAAACTTCTAACAAAAAAAAATAAACAAAAAGAAATAAAATAAATTCAAAGTTTTTAATTTTACAAATTACACAAAAAATAATTTACAATAAAATTAGCTTACAGCACAAGAACAGTAGAACATTTGGGAAACGAAACCGCCAAAATAGAGGCAGACAACTGATAGGCTGATGGTTTTTTAATACTAAAAACTTCGGGTTTTAAGAAAAGTCAGGTGCTGACCGGATTCGAGTCTAGGCCTTTAGCTGTCAATTAGTTTTCGTACCAATAGTTAAAATTAAAATTTTAAGAAATTGAGCACGCTTGCTGTAGAATTGAATGCTAAACAAGTTCCGCCTCGATTTCAAAGAAGTTTATCAAAGCAAATTGATTCCTTTTTTGCAGATTTTTTCTTTTCTTCGAGGGAATAAGACTGATTAAGAAATGGCTGTTTATTTATTCATAGTTCGAATAAACTTCATTAGTTCCCACTAAATCACTCTTCTACTTTTTGAACAAAAAAGTTCAGACCATTTCTCTAAACTGAACTTATTTTATACAATTTGATATAAAACCAAAGCACGACTGAAAATTCTTCAATGTGATATTGTATTTAATCCTTTTTGAGCCTTTCTCGAAAAAGGTTTTGCCTGTAAAAAAAATTGTGTTAAGGGATGGTTTTCAAAAAAATAAAACCTATACTTGTCCGTTTCATAATATGGTTAGAACAAAAAGGAGTACCTTCTAGCGCTTTTTATTCCAGGTACCACTTCCAGACATCAAGTCTTCCAAACCTGCAGAAAAACCTCCCACACAAATTGATGAGTTGGTTCCCACAGGTCCAACTGATCTGCCAGTAGACGAAAAAAGTCTGAAAAGATTGCAGTTCCTGCTGCAAAATGTGAACCCGGAAGACGTGCGTCCATTTGTGAACGAGATTGCGCAGCAGTTGCAAATGCCAGGTGCGGATTTTATTCAATTTTTCCAAATTTTGATGTTGTGCCCAAAGTTTGGAAAAAGAGACTACAGTTTTCACCGACTACAAATTTTCTACTGGGATCCTTGTTAGGTAACGTTAAAAATTTTGAGCAGAAGTTCTATGCAAATTTTAAAGAACTGTTTTTTCCAATTTCCACGAGAAGCGACTACAGATTAGGGTGTTTTCCAAACTTCAAAATCTCCGGTCAAAAAAGATGAGGCGCTTCTCGGTTAACCATTGCTTTCTTCTAATTAAATTTTAAAATAAAAGTTCCTAACTAACAATAAAAAAGGTTTCCTCTAAAACTAAGACTGAGAAGCTTGATCTATAATCGATTGATATTTGTAGTAAATTGCTTTTAAGGAGCGACAGGTGAGGTTGATTGGCTCCAAGTGGCTTCGGGTGCTCATCATATCAAGGTGGAGAAAAGAGAAAGGCTGCTCAACAAAGTCAAACAAGCAGAAGTAATCTTTCTTAGTTTACAGCCAAATTTCGAAAACGCTTATCATGCAACTCCACATCGAGTCTATGAAACTGCTTTTCATACAATTTTCAGACGTACGCAAGAAAGTCTAGGAAGATCTAGCTAGATAACCTCCCTTGATCGACTAGATTTTTTCCTACAGTGGTTGTAACGAGTTATGACTTGCAGAATGAATTTTGGTGTGTTTTCTAACTAATGTGGAATTTCTACTAGGTTACAAATGTTTTACGACTTGGTCAACCAACATCATCGACCATCCTTTCAGGGAAAATAATGAAACGTTTGCTCTGGTAGAATAAATAAAATTGCAGATCTCCATTCCAGAGGTTACTTGAACAGACTTGCGCTTCTAAATCAGCACTTAGACTAACTTTAGGTGTTGGAATTTGCTGAATGATTACTTTGATAATTCCTGAAATCTTCATTTCAGGAACAGATACATCAACAATCGAAAACCTCCACTAAGCCAACAGATAAAGAAGCCGACACTGAAGTTGATGAACAAGAGGCAGACTTAAACATGCAAGGTTTCCGAGTTTCATTCTACAAAAGCGAGCCTCTCAAAGATTACCTCATGCGAATCATGCAATCGGTTAATGATGTTAGAACACAGCACGAGCAGTTTCACAAGGAAAATGACAACAAGGTGGTTCCGAAGGCGCCTAAATTTGCGTTCACAACTTTGGACCAGTTGGTTTACGCCAAACATAAAGGCGTTATGTCATTGGCAACGTTCCTCGCGGTCGACAAAGCTTACTTGGCGAAAGATAAAGAAGAGAAACTCTTAGAAAAACAGGACAAAGCTTACGAAATGAGACTGGAGAAGAAGAAAGTGAAACAGAAGATGATTATGCAAAAAAGAAAGCGGGCGAAACAGTTTTCGAATCAGCAGGACTATGACGAGACTATTACTCGGGCGGCGGTGAGAGAAAGGCAGGATTACTACAGCCAAATGAAGGAAAAATACAAGTGAGCAAAAACTAAGAAGCTCTTTTTCCTCCCATCGAACCCATCTTTGTCGACCTTTTTTTTAGGTCGACTATATTGATTTTCTGAGCTCTCCCAAAACACTATTAAGACGCTATGTTGGCCAAGTTTGCTGCAACGTAGCCAAATTTTTGAAAAAAAAAACATACCAAAAAAAAACGTTTTTAGGCACTTTTTTGAATGTTTTGCATATTGGCGTTGAAAGCGCCTTTCGAAACATTTAGAGTCAATCGTTCAAAAATTGAGGTCACAAATTGTAGCAAAAGGGACCTCGAATCTCTAAATCTGCTACTGGTTCAGGGGCTGATTTAGGTGAGGGGGAGTAACTTGCTTTCAAGAATTTGACACCTTCTCCACCAAATGGTGGTTCCCTTTGGAACTATCTTACGACAGCCATTTTCGACCGAACAACCATATACATACTATGATGAGGTGAGAGTACGCACTGAAAACGTATTTTTTTGGCCAAAACCTTCGAATTCGAATATGGGCCACAAAACTTTTTCGCTTTTCGCAAAAACTTGCCTTACAAAAAACTTACAGAAATGTGGGGCAAAATAGGATCTTCATATCGTTTGCGGAGAGTTCGGAATATCAATATGGTTGACCTGATACAGAGTCATGTTGGAATCCAATTCCTTGCCCCCATTCCTCGCCAAAATCCTACATCATTTCCTGATTTCACATTAGTTTCGCTCATCAATTCCTGCAAATTCAGGGAACAAGGAGAACTGCGGGAGAAGAGCCAGTCTAAAAAGCGAGAGGATTTCAAGTTCGCACAGGAGTTTGCAAGCCACTGCTCCTCCATCGGGAATGCATTGCGCAAACATGACCTCAAAGTGAGGGGGGAGGACAGACAGCTCATGAGGAGTCGCAGGGTCAAGGACATGCAGGTAGATTCCAATCTATTTGAGTCAAATCATTCATGATAATAATTATTTCATTTAAAGAAGAGGTTTTCACACTATTAAGATCAGGGGCAGATTAAGGGGGGGGGGTGGAATGGGTGGTCTCTTGGTTGGTGAGGAGGATTCTACCCCATCACCAACCAAAGGGTCTTCCCTTTGGTATTATTTTCTGACATCCATTTTAGGCCGACCAACGCTAAAACTTGTATATACAAATTTTTAAGGGAGTGCACGCCAAAAAACGCAATTTTTTTATCAATGTTTTTCAATAAGTATATACAAATTATAGCCAATATATACAAATTTTTAAGGGAGTGCACGCGAAAAAACGCAATTTTTTGGTCAAAGTTTTTCAAAAAGTGCTCAAAAACGGCATTTTTGAAGTATTTTTTAGTTTGCCTGCGGCGCTAATTTTTTTGGTCAAAATAGGGTCTTTAGGGTGTTCTGGGAGGGCTCGGAAAATCAATTTGTTCGACCTACAAAAAAAGTTGTCAGAAAATCCTAGATCCGCTCCTGGTCAAGATACAGTTAATCATTTATCAAACTAAGAATCAATTAAACATACTGTTAAAGTATAGTTCTGGCAATATTGTTTAGGGTATCTTGAGCAGGTTAAGCTGGCATGGCACAAAATATCTTCGTTAAGTGTTGAACTAATGCAAATCTTATGACAGAGATGATCCTCATTATTTATGCAACCATTAGCAGTTACTGGTTTCAATCCAGCTATTGGAATCCAGCTACTGGAATCCAGCTACTGGATTCATGTGCGCAAGACCCGTAGGAATTTTTGCCATCATAATGAAGAATCGAAGAACTTAAGTTTCATAAACAAAAATATGTCTTAAATTCAATTAAAAAAAATCAAACTATGGCCAATCGGCTGCATACATGGTAAGCCCGGAATGGCCTTAAATACGGCCCGGCTAGTTTTTAAAAACCACTTTTATATACTTGCAACAACGTTAACAAATTTGATAATTAGGTCCATCGAGACGACCAGAGAACCCTGATCAAGAACTACGTAGCGCAGAGGCAGAAAGTGCTCCAAGCCGAATCAAACGCCGAACGAACCGAGATTGAACTGAAGATCATGCAGGAGAGCAAGGCTAGGAAAGACGAGATTAAAGATCGAGTCGAGGAGCTGAAAAGTTACAAACGAGAAGTAAAAGAATTGTACCCCGTGCCCCTGCACATACACGTCGGAAAACGACCTGATAGTGAATTTAACATGGCCCCGAATGATTCTTTGTTCTCGATTTTTACGAATAATTCAATCAATAAAGGGCGACAACGAGAAATTAGATCGCCACTTACCAGACTAGCCGAAAAGAAAATTCTGACTAATAAATCTTATGATGTTATCGCGCAAAGAGTAAGGAGCGCCGGTTCGAATCCAGCTAGTATACCAAGATCGCCCGCTGCTGCTGTTGTACATGTTAACATGCACTGAAAAAATGGAACTGGAGAAAACTCAACAAATATGCGTTTATTTTTAACTTGAAGATTGATACTTGGAATCGCCAGTAAATCTGTTTTTCAAGCTAAAAGCATTTTTCTTAAAGTCCGCTTGAGCCCATAAAATTATATATGTTTGGTCGGAGAGGTTTAGAAAAAACAACAAAAATATTTAAATGCTTTTTACTGTATTTTCTTTATTAAATAACATATTCACGACCAACAAATATTGAACTTTCAATTTGCTCTCCCATTGGATAAATAATCCATGAGTAAATTTTGCGCGCCTGAAAAAAAAACAAATTGTACGGATATCTAAATTGGCGTGTCTCAATTGGATAGTCTATTGGTGAAGTAAACTATGAAACGTTTTCGAAAAAAAAACAGCAACCATTTTTATTCAACAACAATTTGATTAGAAGCTGTACTAAAACCTTTATATTGAGGAGAAAAAGTTGAAGTAGCGCTTAGCAAACACAGGTTAAAGGAATATTTAATTTTTGAAAAAAAAATACAGACGAGTTGAAAACGAAAAAAGAAAGAAAAACAATTGCTAAATGTGCCCGTGCTCAATGTTAAAGCAGGGGCACATCTGGCCATGTCGAACCGGTTTTTTTTTCTTCAAAAAACAATTCTTAGTTTTAAGGTCAGTCGAATTGACTTTTTGAGCATAGGGCCAGACAGGCGTTGATCTAAGAGTTTTCTTTTATGAGAGGAGTCTAAAAAATCGAAAAGTCAATTGACCTTTTTTGTAGCTTGATCAAATTTATTCGCCTGCCACAAAGTAACCTTTGTTGCAGGCGAATGTAAAGTAAACACGCAAATTTTATTTTTGGGCACTGTTTAAATAGCTTTTACTCAAAATTCTTTTGACCCAAAATATTGTTTTTGTCAGCTAACTTTTGTTTACTACAAAAAAGTTTGGCGCCCTTGTCGCCCAAAAATCCCCTTTTGGGGTTAATTTACATTATCGATATTTGACTTACCGGTCCTGAAGTTTCGCTACAGGCGTTGAGGGGGAAGTCAAATTTATTAGTTATTCGCGCCCGAGATGCTTGTAGAGAAACTTCAGGGTCGGTCAGTCAAATAAGGATGATTCAAATTAATACAAAAAAGGATCATCAAGAATCAATGGTGCCAAATTCTTTTGTAGTATACAAAAGTTAAATGATAAAGACAAAAATTTTGATGTGAAAAGACTTCAATAATTTTTACTTTCATCTGCAACCAAATTTCAAAAAATTATGACGGCCTCAAGTTTGATAAACTGCCGATTTCGAGATAAATATGCCGCATAAAGCTTCTCATGTTCCAAAATTGGCATATTGATTGAAATAAAGTAATTTTAAAATCATTCAAAACTCTTTGAAAATGAAAAAAAGATCATGAAAAATAAATAAGAACGCAATCGCAACCAACAAACGCAATCAACAATTTCAAACAGTTATTTAAATTTAATCAGAGTTGCGTATCCTGAAATTAAACCTGCATATGACTGGTAATAAGAACAAGGATCTTCTAAATGTTCGCTTCATCAGCAGATGTTTCAATTATCTAAATTTGAGCTTATTTCCAGAACATCCCAAAATTCTAAACAAGATTGACATAAAAAAACTCTTTGGGAAAAGGCGAGCAATCAAAAGTTTGTACTGTCACCCTACGCAACGTTTTTTTTCTTCGATTTTGCAAAAAGTAGAAAAATTTGTAAGACCGAAAATTTAAATCAATGCAAGAGCACGTTTCACGTTTTTATGCTTTGCTTTTTGGCTTTTGTGGCAAAAAATCCAAATTCGTGGTCACTATTAGTCGTTTATAAAACTTGCTAATTGTCATCGATTAATTGATTTAAAGTTTGATCCAAAAATATATATCACGACGCAATCGCAATCAACAAACGCAACCAACAACTTTAAATAGTTATTTAAATTCAAAAGTTGCGTTTCCTGAAATTAAACGCAAACGTAATCAGCAATTTCAATTAGTTTTTCAAATTCGAAAGTTGAGTATCCAGAAATTAAACCTGCAAATGATTGGTAATAAGAATAATGTTCTTCTTCTTAATTTCGCTACTTCAGCAGATATTGCAAGTAAATGGTTATTTAGTTTCAAATTTAGCGCATCATGTGATTAAACTTGCAAATGATTGGTAATAAGAATAATGTTCTTCTAATTTTTCGCTACTTCGGCAGATATTAAAACCATCTAAATCTGAGTATATTTCCAGAGCATCCCAAAATTGCAGACAAGATTGACATTTGAAAGTCTTATGCAAAAAAGAGGAGCAACCAAAAATTTGTACTGTCCCCCTAAGCAACGAGTTCTATTTTTTTTGTTTCTCCTTGCATAAAATAGAAAAAGTTTATAGGACAGAAAATTTAAATCATTTCCTAAGCCTATTTTATGTTTTTATCATTTTTTCTGGCTTTTTTGCCAAAACAATCCAAATTGGTGGGCACTATTAGCCGTTTAAAATTAAAACAAAAAATTGCTTTAAACGGCTTCTTGCTTCCGCCCAAATTGACAAAGCCTGTTTATAAAACTGTGTTTCAGAAATTCTTTGTTAACTGTGAAGGACAATGGGAATGTTTCATGACATTTTGAGTTGGATGGCCATACGCCTGGCATTCCCAGTAATTAAACTGATTCATATGTATCGTATTCGGCTCGATGTCAATTTTCGAGAAAAAACTTATAATTTTTCTGCATCCAACTATTTTGTAAATTGTTCAAAAAAATTTGCACCGAGGCAAAAAGCACTTTGTAAACACAAGCGAAAAAACGGCAAAAACTAGCATGAAAATAGTAATATCGAAATGAAATAGAGAAAAAAGAACAGATCAGTAAACCTTAAAACTTAGCTGTATGTCGGAATCTAACATCCATCTTGAATAGAATCTCCAACTTGAAACCCTAAAAAAGTGTAGCTGTATGTCGGAATCTTTCCTCCATCTTGAATAGTAGGAGTCTCAATTCCTTGAATCTGCTCCACAGTCTCTGTAAATTTTATCAGAACTAACCACAAGCAAAGCAACGGCAGTTGTTGTTCCGACTATTTGAAAAATGGGGATCAACTTTGTATTCGGGTGTTTTGGTATTTTTTCTGTTTGTTCTCCACGCACTATCAGGTACAAACAAATAATCATCAGAATGGGTCGAGTGATATATCATATAAAAGCAGTTTCAGTCGTGATTTGAAAAAAATTTAAAAATTTCCCAAAAGTTTTCCTTGTGTCGGGAAAAACAGGTTTGAAATTTTTGATTTTTCATTTTACTTTGAGCAAATAAAGCAAGCGAACAGGCTTTCAGCAGCTGAATTATGCCTAATTTAAGACCTTAAAGGTTAATTTTCAGCAAGGTAAACTAGTATTTGGAGTTTTTTTTAGCTTCATTTAGGGAACCAAAATTACCTTCAGTTCTTAGCTTCAGTTTAAAATTTTTTCAAAATTTTTCTAGTCATTTTTCTGCAAAACTTTTTGTCCCATTTGCTTATTTTAATATGACTGCCTAATACGCCTTAACTATATAATTACATCAGATCCTTTTATCACACCAAGCAGAAAAAACTACTCTAATTTGGGGGAAAAAACACTTTCTAAACCGCAGTTTTCTGAAGACCATGGTCGGAAAATTCTGTGCTAATTGCACATTAACCGGATATACTTGTTATATTTTGCCAACGCTATGCAGCAAAAATGCCCCAAACAAAAGTAAAACTAGTTCATAGCTCCGGATTTGAATCTACGACCTTTGAAATAGGAATCTTACGACTTCGCATCTGCGCTGCGCTCCCAGAATAATCTATTAAGCAATGAACTAAAAACCGGAATAATATATTAAACATATTATAAAAAAAAACAAATCCGGAGCAAGGAACTAAAAACCAGAATAATCTATTAAACATAATTTAAAAAACAAACAAAAAAATCGTGAACATTTTTCTGAAATAAAAAAGTGGCAAAATTTTTTTAAATAATGATTAAGTAAGCTTAAGAAAGTTGTTACACATAAAGGAACAGAAAAAAAAGTTTGACCAGTTTTTCTAGAGATGCAAAAATTATTCAAACTTTTTGACAAAGTTCAGTCAAAACGCCAAAAAAGACTGCAAAAAATAATAAATAATCTAAGGAAGACAAATCGGGAGCAGCGACAAAATAATTTATTAACGCAAAAAAGCTGAACTCGAGAAAAAAGCTGAACTTTTAGAATTTTTTTTAACTGTAAACTTTTTTCCTTATTAAACGTGGGTGGGATTTTTGCTACTATTTCGCTTTTTTGCTATGAAGGGGGTTAGAAATTGATGCAAGCCTAAAAATTGGTCTATCGTTGAACTAGCCCTGTATATGGGTGGCTATTCAGTAGTTAGTAAGATCCGTAGGTGGAACGCTCTGCGCTACCTCTTTTCAACCAGGTACTCTAACTTATAACTTTTTGAACTTAGTCAAAAGCCACTTTCGAATGACAAAACCACAAAAACGCTCCTCCACAGACAAGTTTCTGTGAACAAACTGAACAGCAACCCATTGATATATATTCAAATACCGATCTATAATTCGATCGAACATTTGGCTATGGCAGAGTCAACTTCAAGTTCACATTGTCTTCGATGGGCCATTGTTTGCGCATTAAACTCTTTCAAAGACTAGTTTTGATTGTAACTTGAACTACATGGCAAACGCAGACCAATTTGGCAAATAATTTTGAATACACAAATTTCTATACAAATTTTTAAAAAGTCATGTAGTTTTTACTGTTTTTATAAAAAAAAAGATAAATATTGGTCGAACTTCAATTTTACAAACTCTGAGCCAAAAAAATCACTGATTAATCTAAATTGAAATGTCCGTATCGGTTCGCACCAAGGATAAAAAGAACAAGAGGAAAAATTTGGATATGGGCGCCAAGTCTCTTACGAATCTGAACAACCTGCAAGATGACTCACTGTCAGTTGTCGATCAGCAGCCCGGCAACACCATCACAGTATTGTGTCTGTCATTCTCATTCATAGGTAGGAGGCAATCCTTTACTTCTGAACGATATTTGGTGGGGGGGTGGACTAAGGACTAGCTATTCAAATTTATTTTTCAAAAAGTTTCGCAAAAAATTGGAGAAAAAGGCCATGTATTTTTACCCGGAACCTTCTGAGACCAGGGGACTGGTCTAAGATTTTCAAAACAAGGGAGTGGACAGATTTTCGATAACTGTGTTAGCCTTCTTTATGGTCGGCGAAATAGCTTTTCCTAATTCTTTATAAGAAAGAAAGAATTTATTTCTCCAATAACTGGTCAGTAAGGTTATATAGCATCAGATAATGAGACTTGGAGAGGACAGACAACGGGATCCTAGGATCCATCAAGCGTCTGCCCTATACACCGAAAAGATACTATCTTGGTCAAATTTTCTTCATTTTTCAAAACTAGCACTTTCGCGCATTTTTTGAAAAGGACCAAAGAGTGACCAAGAATCTATGAAGATATCGAATTCTTAAAGGGAAAACAAGCGTTACACAACATCACCAGCCCCCCTTGCCCTAACTTCAATATCCAGACTTGTCTGAGAAGTCGGATCTCAGACAAGCTGTACTTTTTGCTGTACTTTTTGAACACGTTTTTCTCTTTGTTAGAGAACAATTTTTCACTGTATTTTGAGATTTACTTTTTCTATTTGAATAAGAATCAACTTGCGCTTCATCAGGCCCTACGAGTTCAGATCAGACTTTGCAAAATCAAAAAATATATATTGCAGATCTTTCCAATTTCCGCAAAGACGTGGAACAGGCCGCCATTTGTCAGATGTCCACTCCATCTCCCCCCACGACTTCCAAGACCAGCAGAGTTTTCTTCGGCAATGTCCAAATGGAGAACAGTCCTCGAATCAATATCAAATTCAACACTGTAGACAACATGGTTGACCACATGCACGGTAAGATCACTGAAATTTTTAATTTTAAATGGTAAAACTTGAGTTACGCTAGATCAAAGAAATCAACATCAGAGGATTTTAAAGGCCAAAAAAGACTCATTACAAATCAAATTAAAATGGAAAATTGTTCACGTTTTTTCCAACCACTTCTATAAAGAAAGTGAGACGGAACTATGGCGTAGTGTGTGGTGTGTGTGCTTATTTTGACTATCCTGATTTTCCCGGCAAGGCGACGATTCGTCGAAAGCGACCAATCGTCAAAAACAACAGTAGTATTTTTAAAAAGTAATTTAAAAAAACAATAATTTGATATTGGCTTCTATCACCTTCTAAAATCTCAGACTCTGGGATACCTAGAACCTCAAAAACTGTAAGTTTTTGGAAAAACCAAATAAGTGAATATCTGGACATTTCACAAAAAATTTTGCAAAGTTTAATTTTCAGAATAGCTCAATTAAGCGAAAAAAAATACAAATAATTTATGATGGAGTTTTTATTGAGTCTATTTACATTGTTGCTACTCGTTCGTTCAGTTTTCGGTGTTTTTACGAATGGGTGTTATATTTCCCCACACGGCCTTGAAGCTGTGGTTGGCTGCATCGAGCTTGACTTGGTCCAGGAACGTATAAATTGGAGAATGGCTGCCTTGCAATACTGCAGTGCCGCCACGATTCCATCACTGTACCGTTTTTGTTGCTCTTATAGCGCTAGCTGCGGCTTCATCCGATTCCACAAAAATAATGGGAAAAAAAACTTTAGGTTGTTTCGACCCGTAGATGTAAGTTTTTTCAAAATGGGAGGCAATCTAAATGAGCTTTTTGCTGAAGGTCTTGTCTAGCTTAAAGCGATCAGCATCTCTCGCAAGTTCTTCGATCACTTGATCAAAAGTAACAGTAAACATGTCAACTGGTACCAAACTTCTTACAGGAATGAGTCGTAACGACGAAATTGAGCTCATGGTTATTTTCCTACAATTGTTTTAAACCGACTTGGTTAACTTTCCAGTTGAAGGCTTGGGTGAGGTGAAAGTAAGATCCTTTAAGCTGTGCCATCCAGTAGTGAAAGAAAAAACATTGAGAGCAGCACGCTCAACTTTGAGGAGAATACGGTTGGGCTTGGCGCTTTCCGTAAGCTGCGACAAACGGTTGGGAAACTGCTGGCGTGTATGCTCATTTTTATTAAGAATCATAGCATAACTGCACGGGGGATAAAAACCAGCCAGCTGAAAATGGACTTTATTTAAGTGATGAAACTGCATGTTTATATTTTGAAGATGCCATTACAAAGCCATAACACTCGGTTCAATTGAAGATCATTCAATTTGTAAAATTTGCCCTAAATTAGTTTTCTATCGGTAAACTCAATACCGCTATTGAAAAAGAAGAATCTCTTAAACTTTAATTTTCGATATGCCCATCAAGGATCGTTGGGGCGAAGGGTCTTTCTACTGTTTTTTGTCGACCAGTTATCAACGCTAAGTGTGATTGCTGTTGCCTGGCATTTGTGATGGTGCCAGTCTGAACCTTTTTAATGTTAGTTTCTTTTTTTTGTCTGTTGTTGTTTGATATATTTGTGGCCATCACTTATAACAAAACTACAAATGCGTTGTGATAATTCCGTAGAAATTTAGCTCACTTTTCGTTGCAATTTTGAATAATGAAGGAGACAGAACGAATCAGTTTTTGTGCTCGTCCTGCTCTAAGCGGTTGAAAACTGAGGATTCAAATTACTTGTGACAAAGTAAAATTTTAAACAAACCTCTAATTAGCGTCTTTACAAAGTTTTCTTTGAATTTAAAAGTCCATTGAGTGCTAAATACTGGCCCTAAATGAATTAAAACGTGCACGTTGAAAACTTATGCTTTGGTTTTGAATTACTGCTTTGAAGAATAAAACTAATTGAGACACAATTGGGCTTACGACAATTAAACATAAACAAATTTAAAAGAAGTAGGGTGAAATCTTGTAGGGCAAATTGAATTTGTCAAAGGATAAGATAGAATAGGGTATTTATCCTGTTGTTTTTTAGGCATAGTAAGTTTATCTCAAGTTACCCGTGGCGATATGGACTGCTAGGATTGTTGATATTTGCTTACACCACTTATCGAAGCGGAAAGGAACTATGGAAAAGAATGGGTTTGTATTAGGCACTAAAAGGCGATATGAAAGAAGACGAAACCAATTAAAGGATAAAAAGACAAATAAAAAGGATAAAAAGACAGAAATGAAACAAGACTGCTCGTATCAGGGCGAAGCCCTGAATGTTCCGACTGCCTTTTAAGCTTTATGGAGCAGCAGTAAAAGCATAAAAAAATTAAATGAAATAAAATAAAATGAAAATTTTTTCTAAAATTTGAAATTTTTTGTGAAAATCATCCCCCCACACGCCATATAAAGTACAAAAAGAGAGATTTCGTTCCTTGTAACAAATCAATTATGGCAAATAAGCTTCGTTCAACCAATTTGGAACGATTTATAAGACGGATTAAATCTCCGCTTACGCGTTAATAGCGCGAATTATATCGCGCGTTAATTGTCCCAAATTGGTCAAAATGGCAATCTTTGAACCCTCATAACTCTACGAAAAATGATCAGAGGTGAAATATCTTTTCAAATTTAAGCTCAGGACAACAATACTTTTTGAATGATATTAAAAAATTCCGTCAAAAATGGCTAGTTAAAAAGTCGAAATTTGTCTGAAGAAAAAAAACCCACCCCGAGCACAATTATTAAAATCAGAGTTGATAAACTTCGAAACTTCAAATCGACTTTCAATCTTAGTCTGCAATGTTAAAACGAATTGTTTACTAGAAATAACTTCCTTGCTTTGGAATTTAAGACGACTAAATAAGCAGACGACAAGCAATAGTCCGGCAAATCAAGTTTTACTAGATAAAAGTTCATTTCTTACATATCGGTAACCAGGTTTTGCCAGGATTTGAACACTTAATTTTAAGAACCAAAATCACGCGCTTCACCGCCAGACCAAGTAAGAATGGGCATGCATAGTTCCTTGCAGATTTGTTAAAAAATGTTTAAGGGAAAAATTCTAGATCCCGATTACAAGTCACTTGCTACCGCTACCGCAAGTGTAATTTAAAACCCCATTTATTGTCATTGAGATTCCATTTTTTTTTAAATTATTCAATATCCCAGTATCAAGAAACTAAATTTAGCTTATTGAATCATAAAATGCAGGTCAATTGGATGTTGGAAACTTTCAGACTAAATTCAGCGAATAGCGGTTGAACTTTTGTCAAAAATTAAGTTTTTTGGTTTAATTTCTTTGGCGTTGATAACTGTGGCCGAGAACGTTCTGCGCTCTTTGCACAGCATCCTGCTACGTCCTGTTTCTTATGCAACGTTGGTATCTGGCCCTAAGATTACACACAAAATCTAACCGATTAACTTTTGAATTAGATGTAAATCCTTTTGTTTTAGAAGTGAACTTTGAGTTCCACTGTGTTGTGTTCTTGGTGAACTTTCTTCACCCTTTCCTCAAAGCACAGCTGATGAAGGCCATCGAGACATTCCTGGATGGGGGAATGTTCGATCTTTCTATACCAATGTCACTTCTATCCCTCCATCCTGAACAAGGTCAGAGAAAAATGAAAAGTTCATCTGGTTCTAATAGTAAAGCTTTTTCTGAACGACAAAGATACAAAAAAAACATTTTAATAATTTTTGGAGATAAACCCAACTGGTTGCACCAAGAAAGCACAAGGGCACGCCTGAAGCAAAAATAACTTTTTGTGAAGCTTTTCAAAAAATCATCAGTTTTCGGCCAGGGTTGATTTAAACCTTTTTTATCCTTATAATAACTAAATCAATCGTTATTATAACAAGACTGTTCGTATATCAGGGCAAAACCCTGAATTTTTCGACTGCCCCTTAATCCATACCGAATAGATTTTTGAGTAGAGAAAATATTGAAAAACTATAAACTTTGAACAACATCAAAGAACAAATGTGAAAAATTGTATCGTGCGAAATTATTACGACCGATTAGCTATCCTTAGCTAGACCGATCTTGTTGTTTTCACATTACGATTTTAGGATTCAGAATAAAATCTTCAAAGTGCGCATAAATTAGTCCAGAGCGTGGACAAATTAAATTGAAAACTTTCAAACTCCCAAAACTTTGCAAAAAATGATCGGAGGTAAGATATCTTTATAAATTTGATTTCAGGGAGACGATATATCTTCAATGGGGTATAAAAATATTGTTAAAAATTATTATTTCGACCGCCGAAAATTGACTGAATAAAAAACCGCGCCGAAAACCAAAAACGAACTCTCGTGATAATTAAACCAATCGATTGATTTTCACTCACATACTTATATTTCAGTATCGACGCACTTTATAGTTACGACTTACGAAGAAAGCGACGGAATATTTGTCCTCGGGGTGGTTTTGTTTTCTGCAGACAAATGTTGTCTTTTGAACTTGCCGTTTTTGACAGAAATTTTTTCTATCATCTCAAAATATTTGTTGTCCTGAGCTAAAATTAATAAAATATTTCTTATGTGATCCTTTTTTTGTTATCGGGAATTAAAGATTGCAATTTTGGCCAATCTGGGACAATTAGTGCGCAATAAAAATCGCGCTTTTAACGCGTAAGCGGAGATTTGATCCATTTTCGAAATCGTTCCAAAATGGTTGCAGGAAGCTTGTTTTTCAAAGAATATGGAAACTAAACGGACCGAGCTGAAGTCGACAACCATGAAGCCAAAAAATTATCAGCACAACTCTAAAAACAAAAATACAAAAATTCGAGTAGTACCCGATAGTTAAATTTGAATTTTCAAGAAATTGAGCATGTCAGCATAATTGATTCAACTGATTTTGTTAAAAATCAGTTGAAATTGTTATCATAAAAAAAAATTCTTCGAAAATACGGAAAAATTAATTTCAGAAAAACAGACGACAAACACAACCTCTACCGTCAAATAAGCTTTTAAAATTTTCCCAACATTCCCTAAACGAACAACATGTGGTTATGCATCATTTAATCTGAAAACAAAAAACGCCAAAGGAAATTGTTGTCATAGAAAAATTTCAAATTTCAGACCCTAAAAAAGGTCTATCCGGGACTCGAACCCAGACCATAGGGTGAAAAGGAACCGCTTTACCTCCAGGTGAAGAGAAAAGGGGCCCGGAAAATGCTAAGAATCAATATTTTAGCAATTTCGTTTTCCTTTCCAATTATGCCAGAAAAATAGTTTTATGGGGGAAAAAGTCTAGTTTCTGATTACAAGAAACCTGCTCTCGCAAGGGTAAAAACTCCAAATCGGATGCAATTTTGATTATTAGTTAACTTAGTAAAAATTCAGCAAAAATTAAAACTTATTTAGCAGGCAAAAAGTTAAAATGAGGCAAACATCAAATCAATTCTCCAGATAATAAAAAAACGTCAGCGCCTGCAATTAATATTATCAATAAATGGAAAAGTATGTAGAAAACCAATAATATAAAAACACAATATCAAGTTTTTCCGTTTTCAAACAACAAGAGTACTAAAAAAGTGATTTAGTTTGAAGCTTTTCATTTTAAATTTATATCTTACATGAATACATTAGGAAAGGGGCTCATTGGCGTAAAGTTAATTGTTAAAAAAATAATGTTTTACATAATTTTTCTGCTAAAGAAAAGCAAAATATAGAAATTCAAAATCAGAATAACTTTGAGTCAAGATTTTTTGTCAAAAATCTCAAACAATCTTGATATTAAACTCTCTGAAAAAAAAATTAAATTAGGCTTTGGTTTAATAGCCACAAAAAACATCATAATTGAGTTTATAAATAAATCAAACAAAAAAATCAAAATTGGAAATTGCAAAAAAAAAGTTTTTCACTAAAAAAACAGTCAGACTCCAACTGATAAAAAATCACTTCAAACAAAAAAACTTAATCTTAAACTAAAACACTAAAATGGTTTGGGGACTACATCACCGCCAAACTATTTTCAATAATTGCACTTGAATTTTTAAAGAGCAAAAAATCTAAGACCAGTTGATTGCCAATTTTCTGAAAAAAGCTAGTTAATTTATAATCCCAGTCACAATTACAAACAGCGAACTTCAAATTTCAAGTTGTAAACACTCAAAAATTGAAAATAATTTGTTCGAACTCGATTTTCAGAAACTATTTCAAAACTATGAGGACAGATCTCAAAAAGGTGGAGGAACTTTCTGCTCGGATGTGTTTTAGTTTTTTTTCCTTTTCAGTTTCCACACAAAATAGGTACCACAAATAAGCATCAGAATGGGTCGAGTGATCTATCATATTGAATCCCGTTCAGTGTTGAGAACAACCTGTTTAAAAGTTTGAAACGAGTTTTAGTCCAATTTCGAGCAAGTAAAGCCTTTGAGTGTAATTAAATATTGGCATTTAGGCTAAAAATTAGTTTCGGAAGCTTCATTCAGCGCTTTCTTGGTAATAAAAATTTTATACGAGTTTTAACGCAAAAAAAACTAGGAAAAATTTTTTGATTTTTTTTCTTCATTTTTTCGTTTATCAATAGTTTGAAAACAATTGTAGTATTTTATGCCTAATTCATTAACTTTTTACGCGTTTGTATAATTCTAAAATAAGCGTTTGTATAATTTTACGCGTTTGTCTAATTGTAAAATTTTTTTTGTAGTTTTTCACGAATTTGGTTGGAACATTCTGTGCAACTTGCACAGCAACCGGCTATCCTTCTTTACTTTTATATTTGAAAGCATAGAAAAGCCCGTGTTAATTGGCAGCAAAATCAAAATAAATGAAGTTTGAACAACCTAAGTTTAACAGCGCATACATTGCTCGAACATTTGAAGTTAGTAGGTAGTATAAAAATACTATTTGAACTTCAGAACCCTTTTTAGTTTTTTCACCTAAGCAGGCAACTTTATTGAAACTTCGCAAAACTAAAATACTAGAAATTTCAACAGTTTAGAAATAAATTAAAGAAAATCAGAAAGTTCCCGAATACGGACGATTGATAGTTTCAACTCGTACAAAAAAAACGTATTATCCCTGATGTATTTCCATAACGCTACAAATTTGCTAAGTTTGTGTATAGTTGCAGACAAGCCTTCATTCGGCAACAATCAAATCTGAATTAAGAAAAAAATGCTTTCTAATTTTTTCCAGGTCTTTTTTTTTGCTTAGCGATGATGGAAACCTGGAGGTTGAGAAATCCGGTCAATTATTCAGACTTTTTAAAGTCTACATTTTATGAAAAATCCGCGTATCATTGGCTGTAATTAAATTTTCAATCGAGAATTTTCAATTAAAATTAATCAGATTCGCTATTGCAACGTTTTAAAAAAAAAATTCAAAAAACCATAGAAGTTTCAGATCTCCTAAGCCGAAAAAAATTTGAGCAATTAGTGTATGAGACCAGATTCGCAGTTCCTGGGACAATCATGGAAACCCCCTCCCACCATAGGATTGTTCATGGGAAAATTTCGCTGATGTTTTCAAAAAAAATTGATATACGATAAAGATTAAACGTAGAAAAATTTCTTGCGTTTTAAAAAAGCTCTAAAACACAATTGGTTAACTTAAACACGCAAATAACCTTAAGCATGGGGGCTTAATGACACATGCATTTAGTTATATCATAGATAGATAACAGTTATTGCGTTACAGAAAATTAGTTTTTTGATTTGCAGCTCTTTAAAATAGCATTTTTTCTCGTGTTTTGATAATTTCGGAACATTTATGGTAAAACAAATTCGGTGGGAGGGTCAAAACTCGAGTGGTGGAACTATTGATAAAATAGGTTTGTTTTAAGGGGGGACACCATCAAGATAATTTTACAAGTTTTGATCTGATTTAGACTGTAATAACTTCCGAAAGAGAATTATCAGTGATTTCGGGTTCGAAGATGACAATTTGTGTTATTATAAATACGACAGAGAGACGTCAACGAAAACATCTCCTTCATTGAACAGCGGAGGGCGCAAAAACAGCAAACAACATCATCAGGTAATCCATGTCAATTTCTTATCGTAGTTGCCTAGTCCAAAGAACTGAAAAGTTGACACATGGAAGAATAGTACTAATTGAAAATTTTCCAACACAACTGGAAGCTTACTAAGAATAGCAAGCAAGAAAAAACGCGAATAACAGACACAACTCCAAAGGTGCAATGTAAAAATGGCCTATTTTAAAACAAAGAGTATCGCAGTAGCAGCTTCTTTGTTGCTAAACATTGTAGAAAGTTTGAGAGACAACTATCCTGTTTTGAGTTGGAAATATTATCAGCTTGTAGATAAAACATAAAAATTTCAAGCCACTTAAACTTATATTTCAAATCGCTAAAATTGGACGCGAAATTTTGAATGCATCATTAGGACCTCCCTGTCATTATTAATTTCACAAAAGAACCGTTGAAATCTTTCATTTGCTTTCATGACAACAATCCATTCGCAAAATCCTCGTATTTCAATCTAGCTAATCAATCGATGAAATGGTTTTTCATAGTTTAGATCAATTTGCCAATGATGCAATTTTCGAGAAAGCTATTGATGTGCTTAAAACTTCAAATAATGGGTTTTAAATTTTAACAATTGCGAATGATTAGCAAGATGTTTGTTTCAATTCCAAAAGCTCATTCTACAAAAATACGTTGAAAAACGTTTTGTCAGCTTCGACTAATTCGCAGGAAATTCATCAGTGTAAGAAAAACAGGGTTTCAAGCACGCTATTCGACCGTCAAATTTTGAATTAGATCAAGTATTTTGATGGCACATGCGAACGCCGAGGTGGCTCGGCACATGCAAACAACCTCCACATGCGAACAATTTCCCCCTTGGGTAGACCAAGGGAACAATCTCCTCCTTAAATGTAAACACAAGTTAAAGCAGTAAGGCTTGCGTTGTTCGATGCTCAATTCTGATTGGCTGAGAAATATTACTTTTTTAAGTGAACTACCTCCTTCCCTAAACAAATTTAAGGGGGAGATGGTTTAGTTAGTTTGAATAGCTTGTTTGAACAGTTTTCATTTTCTGCGAACCGCTCTAAGCCAAGCTTGTGATAACAAGCTCAAGTTATCTTCAGCACTATTATGAAAGTTTTCATCACAATTGTACCTACGCTCGTTATCTTAAGCTATTTATAATATCACGTTGAAAAATATACGTTGATTATTTCAAGCATGTATATTACGCTGGCACTTCTACCCAGTTCTTGTAAATTTTGCACGTTTGACAGATATGGATTGCTCCTGTTTACTCTCTTAATTGCGTTCTCTTTTTATTTCAAAAGTGTATTGCAATGTTAACATGGCTTATTATAAAACATAAACTGAACTACAAAACATGAATGTTTCAAGGTCATCCAGCACATGTTCGACTGTCTGCAGTCTAGAGTGAGTCAGAACATGGACATGAGCAACTGGCACCTTCTCAAATACGACTGAATAGCAACAACAGAGAAAAAAAACAATCGAATTACGAAAGAAAATTGCAATAAAAGTTGAGACTCAAATTCTTTCACATTTCTTAATTTCAAAATGAGAAAAAACTTTTTGCTCCGGACAAGTCTCGACACACCATTGAAGGAACTGTCTTTGCGAAAAATAGCGTGTCATTAAAAAAGCGAGGTTTTAAGAACCTCAAGTAAGAGTGATTGAAAAATTTTAAGGGCCAAAACTTTGTTTTGTAGAACTTATGAAATCATACTACCTCAAGTAGCAACCTTATTAGGAAGTTAGAAACATTAATTTTAAAATTTTTAAAATTAGGCAGTTATTAAAATTTAATTTTTTCAAAAAAATTGTTCCGGCAGGAGTAGAACACTTCAATTGTATATGTTCAAAAAAAACATTTATTAGGAATCGATTTGCAGATCAGAAGAAGCTACCACTTTAACCACGCTTATCCAAGAAACGATCAAATAGTAGCCTGTAATTACGGCATACATTGAGTTTTTTGAAGAGTTTCCAAGTGCATTTACAGCTAATAGCAGGGTTGCATGATTAAAATCAACTTGATTTAAATCAATGATGTAAATCGGATTTTAATCGTAGAAAAAAGTCAAAAAAATCAACCCTTGTGTTCTCCTGTCCAGTGCCGCGGTAAACACACAACCCAGCTTGCATTATTTACATTGGTTACGTACTTCGCTCTTCATAGCATACATTTAGCTGGAAAAGTTTTTCAGTACTTTCGGATTTCTCCATTCCAGTCTCAGAAATTGACTGGGAATAAAAAAAATGGGTAACTTGAGTTCTTCTTTCGGATGCTAAAACAGTAATTTTGCGTAAATAAATTGATTCTTGAAACAAAAACGTTTCCAATGAAAATCGAAAAAATCAAGGTAAAATAATAAAAATCGGATTTAAATCAATCGAGAATATACATCAGATTTTTATGCAACCTTGAATAGGAGTAATTAACAGCGAAATTTAGGAAAGCAAAATATCTTATTCTTAAAAAAAGTTAGTAGAAAAACAGATAATCCGGAGGTCGGATAATCAAAACAACAAAATTAATCAAAATATTTTTTGTGCATTTAACACATTATTACTGGGGTATAAAAATTTACTAAATTCAAGCTCATTAGGAGCAGGCATTGAATCAAATAGGTACCGGGCAAACATGTCAAACATCCAAAAAACCAAAAAGTTCCGCCAACATCCAAAAAACAGCTTTACTAGGGCAAACATCCAACATTTTTCTAACAGTAGGGCAAAGATCCGATTTCTACTGTTCCTCAAAAGATATTCTACTAGCCGAAATATTAGTGACCGCCACCGTCGTGTCGAGTAGCTAGCTTGTCAACAGAGGGCAAAAGCTATTGAAAATTAAAGCCGGTTATCGTCAAGGAGCGTTAAATCGCGCTCACAGGCGACCTTAAACTAAGATTCGAGTAAATTGGAATAGGCCATTTGGACTTTGTCTTGTTTGAAACACCAAGGTCATGCTATTAATTAATTATTATAAAGTTCGACGTTTGCCATAGCGGATGTTTGACATATCGGATACTTACCCCAGACCCGAAATAAATGGTTATGAGAAGCATTGATTGGTCATCAATTCAATCAATGCTTCAGTCCAAAAAATTCGAGCCGAAAAAATTTATTTACCAGAGGCGAAGCTGCGCTTCGCCAACACAAGCGAGGAAAAATGCAAAATGCCCTCTAAACAGGCAAAACAAAGTGAAATAAGGAAAAGATTCAAAAAATACCTTGAGAAACAGAATAGTGAGATTAGGAGCATCACGTTCTCAAATCTGCTTCATGACCGCTTGAAATTGTACTAACACCAGCCACCATTAAAGCAGCTAGTTTCTATCAAATTGCCAATGCTACGCAGCAAAAAAAATCGACCAAAAAATGAACCTATTTCAATATTCTGGATTTGTATTTACGACCTGTAGAATAGGAGTGTCACGTCCTCGTATCTGCACCACGGTCGCTTGGAAGTTAACTAGTAGCCTAGCTAATGCTGGATCCAGCTGTTTCAATATTTTTAACCATTTGTAATGATACGGCATGGCATAATTTTCAAAAATTGTATTGTAAGTAAAAGCCTAGTGATTTCTCTGCTTAAATAGGGATCAGCCGCTTATTTAAAGGAGAAAACTAATAATTGCTCTTTCAATTAAAGTCTTTACCTCAGATTTGGTTGGGTAGTTTTCGAAGAAAAAAAGTTCCAAAAAACGATAGAAAAATTTGACTTTTCCAAAATCCATAAAGTTTTCTCTTCTAAGCATAGGAATAAAATCTTATACAGCGAAGACGTCCACTCCCTGATTTTTAGATTTTTGTCAAGAATAGTACTGAAATATCTGAAACCAAAATGGTTTAGAAAAAATTCAAAAAATGGATTTTTCCGAAGTCCACATCAGCTTTTCTAAAAAGAAATAGGGTAAAACAGATTGCGCAGGAAAAATCTAAGCAACCATATTAGCTTGCATGAACCATCAAGTTCACAATAAGAAGATAAGTTCTTGAAAAAAATGTTTTCAAAAAACGGGCAAAAATCCAAAAATTGGACCTTTTCTAAGGCCATATTTTTTTTTCAAAACACAGGGTTTGTGTTCAAACCCTGTGTTCAACCCAAAGAAAGTTAATGATTCATGTAATTCTCGGCGTAAATAATCATTCAGGCAAAGCACAGCCTCAGAAATTTGCATGAATGATTATTTACGCCGAGATTTACATGAATCATTAACTTTCTTTGGGTTGAACTCTGAATCTCCGATTTGACAGGGTAGTTTTTGAGAAAAGTCAGAAAGTTTTTTTTAAATAACAAAACATCAAAAAATGGGCTTGTTTGAGGCCATAAATTTGTTCAAAAGAATTCAAGGAATAACCGCTTGAATAGAGGCTCAACTCAGATTCGTGCATTTAACAATTGAGAAAATGGAAAATTCAAAACAAGTAGGTCACAAATCCCTCTACTGAAACTTTCGAAGGCCGTAGAACGTGGGATAAAATGAAAAGAGACTAGCAAAATAAACAAGAACATAGAAGAGCAGCCAGTTTTTTCATTGGTAATTTTTTTTGAAAATTGAAGCAGTAGAATTTGTTTTAATTGAAATTGCCGCGAAAAGGCAAAAATTTTAGAAAGCTTCACAAAAAAAACCCATACATAAGCATAATACCTGTTTTTTTTTCATACAGGACCTAGCACTAGTCATGAACAAAGCACCAACATATGATTTTAATTTACCTATGCGTAAATAGGATCAAATATGATAATTAAATTGAAATTTACGTTAAGTGCCACCAAATGAGCACTTTCATTTGCGACTTAGCTTAGAAAAAATTCTTCGTAATAATATACTTCACTTGTGTAGAGAAACTGGGACAATAATGCCTTTTCAGCTGAATTATGTTTTTGAGCACAAAAAAAATAAATTGTGCGAAAGCCCGACCCACTACACAATCAGAAGTTGAAATACGTTACATTCAGACAAAATCAGAACAAAATTGGGTGAAATCAGAACAAAGGGTGAAATCAGAACAAAATTGCTTGCAAAAAAGAAGAACTTGAGAGTTTAGCATGTAAGAGAAAAACGCGCCTTGAAACAGAGGCGAAGCTGAGCTTGGTACCACTTGCGATACAAAAATGAAAGATTATGACTAAAATCAAATGAAAGATATCTACAAAAAACATTCAATAAACGGTTTTTGTCAATTAACAAGGAGCTTTTAGAAGGCTATGAAAAGCCGATTTTTCTAAAAAAAATCTACTCTGCCGAAAAAAGCAGGCAGACAAAAATCAAAAAAGCTAAATAACAGTCCTCGACTGGAATGGAACTCCTGGCCGGGCTTTGTCGTCTGAAGCATGAGTTTTGCAGTAACTTCGAAGAAAGCTGAACGTTCAAAAGACAAAAGCCTAGAGGATCTAAGCAGACAAAATCAGTATAGTTTGCAGAAAAAACAGTTCCCGGGCGGATCACGAACAAGCCTTTGTGAGCACAAGCCTTTGCCGTCTCAAGTAATTGTGTTACCTTTAAGCCAGGTACTGCCAGATAGTTGATTAAATATACAACTATCAAGATGTAACAAAGCCGAAAAAACCTGAGCCTAAACCCTTCATGTCGGAAAAATTTCATCCCATTTCAGGAAATTTCAAGTTTGCCTTCCCCCTCAGAACAGATACTCACACAAAAAAAAAACTTTTTGGTCATCAAACGACGCTGTAAAAGCCATTAAGTCGATATAAATTGAGCCGAAACCCATTAGCTGAAAAGACAAAAAAAATCAGAAACTTTAACCAACCGGTAAAATTACGACCAACATAAAAACAAATTTCGATTAGGCCGGATATTTTAAATGCAAACATGCTCACATATGTCTGTTGCAACAGAAAGGCCCCGTAGATGAATGAGAGCAGGAGATGCACCCTGTGAACAAAGTCATTTACAGGAAAAAAGACTAGTACACGATTGCAATACCCTTGCTCATCGCAATGTTAGGATAAAAGAGAAGATAAAATCTTTTTCTATCTAAAAAAAAAGGTATTTTTTCTGCTACGAAAATTTCAAATTTTCATAAATCTGATTTTCCAAAATAAACCTGTACCCATTGCTTAACTCAACACAGAGCCAAAATAGGACTTCGCATTTTTTGCAAAACGAAATATTCGCATTGAGTGTTCAGTATTAAAAAAACTGAGAGCAAAAAAATGTAACCTGTTTTTCAAAACTTCTGCGCATTTCAGAAGTAGGCACAATCTATTCATCCTCTAACACACTTATGATTCTTTAACTTTTAATTTAAAAACACAAACCAGGCAAGGCAAATCATTGTTTGAATCAGATAAAATCATGATTTCAAACAATTTTACTAAGGCAAGTGAAACTTAAGATGAGGCTCCATTCATTACTTTCTAGAGACTAAGAATCAAAAAACAAAATAAAATTTTCCAACAGAAGTCGTCCTTAACTCGGGCTGAGGAAATCAGCAACATTTCTTGGAATTGAATTACCTGCATCATTACAAGAGTACGCCAAGGGAATGTTTATATATAAAAATTAATGCTTAAACCACACAAGAAAAACCGTGCTGTGGTAGCAAAGCTAGAAAAATATTAGTTCGTTAAAAATAGGTTGATTCTAACCTTGGACCTCTGACTTCCCGTGCAAGGACGTTACCTCTACGCCAAATGTGAAGAATGACAGGCTAATTTCAATTGCATCAAGCTATCAATGGATTGGCGTGCAAGCGTAATGAAATTTTATTTACCAGAGCCGATCTCTTTATTGCAAAAACTTGCTTTTTCAATAATATAACTTACGATACAACACAATCGTAGAAAAAAATACAAGTCGAAAACAAATGAAAATTGTTGAAAAAATTAGGTGAACCAAAAATATCGTTGCCTCAATGACAGCTAAAGCTGGAGGTACATGTTTGATCATTCTGAATTTGTTAAACCGATGCAGGACGATAAGCTTGATTTCGAAGATCGGACTTTGCCCATAACCTTAGTTGTTCGCCTACTAAAAACAAGAAAAAAGAAGACAACATTTCTCCTACAAAAAACTAAAGTTTAGCCGCTTTTGCAGGCAAAATTCGCGCAACCGCTTCATTCGATTAAACTTTTCATCTCAGATTTGATAAATTAATTTTTCAGAAAATTCAAAACAATTTGTAGAAAAACGGTCATAATTCAAAATTTTGACTTTTCGAAATCCGAAATTTTTTTCTGATAAAAGCAGGTAGTGGCCGGTACAGTAGAGAATACTTCCAAAATCGAGTTTTTAGGTTGAACACTTAACCTGAGAATTGGCATGTTAATTTCAGGGTAAAAGTCTAAAAACTTCCAAACAACGTTCAAAGCTTCAAAACTTCCACTTAATTGAAAGCCATAATTTTACTCTAAAAAAACTGGGCGCAGCAAAACTAAGTTTTCAACGAGCTAAGCTTTCAACAACCTTTTACCTCAATTAAAATTATGAAATCACATTTGACAGGATAGTTATCGAGAACAGTTCAAAAAACGGCCACCAAATCAGATAGTTGACATTTCCGAGAATCATAGCTTTTTGTTTTAAGAACATGGTCTTCAGCGCGTATGCGGAAGAAATTCAAACCTGTAATTTCGACTGAACCCAAAAACCTATGTTTGGCAGGCTAGTTCTCGGCAGAAGTCAAAAAAGTTACAAAAAACGCTGAAAAAATCAATTGTTTGACTTTCACGAGGGTCAGAACTTTTTGTGTCAAAAAATTTTTTGGCGTATTCGGGTATGCATAAGAGCTTCAGACAACCCACTCTGTGAATTAAACCCAAAATCCTTAGATATGAAATGGTCATTTTTGGTGACATTCGTACAAAATTTAAGAAAAAAAACGTTAAAAATAATAAAAAATGACTTTTCCGAGGACGATAACTTTTTGTTTTAAAAAAAAATTGCAATTGGCTGCTAAGGCAGGGGAGCGTTTCAACGCTCTTTATCCCCATTAAACCCACAACCTAAGGTTTATGAGTTTAGTTTTTGAGAAAAGTCAAAAAGATTCAAACAAAAGTTCAAAAAAATCAAAAATTTCACTATTACGAGGGCCATAGTGTAAAAGTTTTGGATCAGCCGCTTATGGAGCGGAGCTTTTCAAAACTTCAACTTTCATAGAAATAAAAATTTCAGATTTGATAGGTTAGTTTTCGACTAAACGACCAAAAATCAAAAATATAGGTCAAATAGTCCCCCCACAGACTTCTTAGAAGGATGTCGAGAAAAGGGTAAAGCAAAGAGAGACCAGGAGTGTTAAAACTGCAGGAAATGAAAAAAAATTTTTACGACTCATCGGTACTGAAACACATGACAACATAATAAATTTTGCCCTCGAAACTTTGCAATATAAGTTGACTCAGTCGCTATAACATCAGCAGATTATCATAAGTCCGAACCGTTGAATCGAAAAAAGAACAAAAATCAGTTCAAATCTATTCAAAATCAGGCTTGGTAAATTTACAAAAAAAAACTCAATTCCGAACTGTTTAAATCAAAATAAAACCAATACTTTAGAATATAAGCCAATAAAAACCGTACCAGATTATACAGAGAGGCGAAGCTGCACTTCACATACACAAGCAAAAACATGACCGACAACGGTACTGGGAAAAACTGAATGAGTAAAGCTTTGAGTCTACAAAATTTCTTAAGTGAAGCACGCCAATTATCAGTCTACATAATTGCTAAGTTACGCAAGCCATTTATGACGCAGTAGCAGCACCACTCAATTTGAAAAAAAAAAGAAATTTACCAACTTACATGCCTCAATTTATAGAGCGGACCCATTTTAACCAGTATACGAAAAAATTCATTTGAAACATCCGGCCCTGCCCAGGTTCCAACCTCGTAATTTGTTGTAGGTTTCCTTGCCTACCTCTACGCTACATATTCATGATACCTTGAAGCTAAAGTGCTATTTGAAATATAATAGTATGTGTTGATATCCTTAACGTTGGCTGCACTTAGTAGCTGGTTATTGATCAAAATGAACCCTTTCAAAATAAACACGTTTTGTCGCAACAGTATTTGCGTCGCAACAATATTTGCGACTTCGGTTGGAAAAAATTAGAGAGTTCATGTTATAACACAAGCTTTGCTTGTGTAAAAAAGTCATTCAAAAACGGAAATGAACCGGCGGAAACTAGGACAAAAATCACGAATCTAATTTAAAAAAATTGAATTGAAAAAACAATTCCTACCTGATGTAGCTTGGAATTAGAAAAGAACGCAAAAACAACTAAATTATCGGACAAAATTTGAGTACCGCTCAACGCACAAATGTATAAATAAAACGAACAGACAAAGAAGGTACCATTCTACAGCAGCAGTGGTAGTTGAGTTTCAACTCTGACAAGTATTGCATTAAAAGAGTGGAGTTTCTAAGCCTGTTGAATGAGAGTTATGTTGTCTCCTTTGAGCAAAATTCTTCCGACTCGCCTTCTTGTGTCCTTCTTAATATGCACTTCCTCAGCGTCTTCCAGAACCAGATTCATGTACTCATCGAAGCCAATAATTTGACCTTCAAGGCGCAAATTGACCTGCTCATAGACCCACACTTGGATCCTGGATTTGTTTTGTAGATATCTGAACAGCAGATTGATGGGCTGCACCATTACTTTGGCTACTTTTCCAGACATACTGCAAACAAAACACAGAATCTGAAAAATCAGCAACGGCTTTCATTATCATTTCACGACGATTAATTTTAACTTCAGTCAGAAATACTTTTAACGATATCAAATTTTTTCAACTACATACTCTCGATTTAGTACATTCAGTTTATTTACAAATGCATTGAATTCATAGTTCACCTTGATTTGAAAGTAATTATAAGGCAGCTAATTTATCTAATTTGAAGTTTTGATCGTGCAATGAACAAGCACAGCTTGTTTCGCATCATGGATCCATCCCATAGTAGGGTTGAGCATTTGGTTCCAGTCCATGAACGAGTTCCAGCCCCAGTCATCTTCGTGTGCCCTGAACGTATGGGTGGTAGACAGTTTCTTGTTCTTCGAAGGGGTGTTATTAAGGAGAATCAACTCAAAGTCAACATTGAATGTCCAGTTTTCTTTCGGGACAACCGGCTGACATCCCAGAAAGAGTCCCAAAAAGAACTTTTCGGGTCCACTTCGAAATCTCTTAGCTCTGATCCACAACTTATATCCTTTGGAGAGAATTACGCTTTGTGAGTCCTGGCTCTCCCCAGCAATCCATGATCGGAACCCAGTAAACTCAGCGCACAGAGTTAGTCCATTCGAGTTTATTCCACCACCATTATCCGCAGACTCACTTTCAGAAGTCAGAAGCAAGAAACTGTCCAGAATTGTGGTGTCAATTTCTGAACCCGATCCTTTGGCGAACGCCCGAATTTTAGCTTCATTTGTTCGGATGCTTTCAAACTTCTCAATTTCTCTCTCGAGAATTAGTTTCCTGTCTTCGTAAGATTGAATCTTGTTCTCAATAGAACTAATTTGTTTTTGAACGGTATCAACTCGCTTCGACATGTAATCCATGAATGATTCCTTCTGAGAGCCAATTTCTTTCAGCTTGTTGGAAACAGAATTTTGCAAATAGCTTTTGTAGCTCTTCATTGCATGTCCGTCATGCTGATTCTCGAAACAAGTTTGGCATATTTTTTCGGAACACTGGACACACCAAAACAGGACCGGAGCTGTTGGATGGCACGGACAACGCGAAAAATTACAAAGTTTGGGAGTTTTGATACTTGGTTTCGACCCAGATTGCTGCAGAAATTCTCTTATTCCGAAAAGAGGCTTTAGGCTGGCAACATCCAGGTAATGCACATCATTGCACAAGGCGCATTTGAGCGCACCACTGGATTGCTTTAACATCAACAAGCAGTTTTTGTGCGGTCCACAATAAGAATGCCCACATGGTAAGGGGCGGGGATCATCTAATTCTTCCGCACAAATAGAACACTCTGGCGATAAATTCATAGTACCTGAAATATTGACTTGCAGATTGAAAAGCAACAAAATGGAACGCTAATCATTGCATAGTTTATTGATTGTATTTACGAACGAATACCTTCGTGTTGTTTTTGTTGTCCATCTCTATTGACTTGAAGATCGAGATTTTTGCACACAGGTGATACTAAGCCCTGGTTACGTAGCAGTATTTGGTCAGCCGCGTATTCAGACTGGTTAGTAAGCAGACAAATAATGATTTAACCAATCAGAATCGAGACAGGGAAGACAATATTAAATAATAATTATTTAATTCATAAGTTTGCTTTCTCATCTCGATTCTGATTGGTTAATACAGCTTACTGACGAGTCTGAATACACGGTTGTCTAAATACAGACCGCACTACCTAAGCCCTGTACCATTTAAAAGTAATCAGAAGGTCAAAAGTATCATGTTACCGAGACTACAATCAGAAGTCCCTTCATCACGTATTCCAGTCAATGTGACATTCGACCAGAATGGCCAAAATGCAATTTATGCAGGATTCGAATTTTGAGCAGTAAGCCTTCCGAGTTGATGATTTCGAAGGATTAGCGACGTTATTGGAACGTTTAGCCAAACGGTGAGGGCTAGAATATTCTAGTATTTTAAATTTTCAAAAATTCGAATGATGACGTCACATTTCTGAGAAATGCTGAAACGGCCATTTTAACAAAAAGCGAGTGAAAAACAGAACAACTTTTATCTGCGATTGCGAACAGTACGAAAATCGAGATTGGAAAACGACAACGAACTACAGAATAGCAGAGAACGTTCCGAGTTGCAACTATTGTGCTGCTACAATAGTTGCAAGGCCGTTGCCAACAACGGTGAAGGGTGAGAATCAGCCTTCCGGATTAGCAAGAAATTAAGAGTAAGGAGCTTGATTCGGCGGATTCAAGAATCCGGAAGGGTCTCGGGACGGAAACTTTTATTAACTCACATAAACTTTTAGCATCCTGTCATGTCCTGACTTGAATTTAACTGATATTTTGATTAGTTTTGACAAGGATGAGGTGCTAGGAGTTGGGGGAAAGGGTTGATCCATCTTCGATGGAGATGATGATTTTTATCTACTGAACAAAAACAATAGTAATATAATAAATAGTAGCCCTGTTTTTAGGAGTGACCTCGTGGTCTGGGGATACTGAGACCCAGCCATGAGCTCACTAATTTTGCATGTAATTCAGTTAATTTGAGCGTTCTGGTCGAAGCCGGAGAACAGTAACGTTTTTGTCAGCCTGATGTGAGAAAGACCACCGAAAAGTACTGGCTTGGTAGAGACGGTGAAAAACATGCAAAGCTCTGTTTAGACGCTAGCCAGTCGCCTTAAGACTTAGTTTTGTTATCCGTCGATATGTATCTTCCGGGCGAATGTTACATGTATGTTTTTATGGCGCTCCTGGGTGTTATTCTTTTTTAACATCATGACCGGCAGAACCGTTAACGAGCACTCCGCGCCGAGCGGATGCTCACATCAACGCCCTTAATAGGCCTAAACCGCCGGGGCGGAAGGGTAGTTCGGAACGCGGAGGCCTTCCGAATTGCCGTGAATAGTTTTTTAACCTAGTTAAGACCGAAAATTCACGAACCAGGAAGGGTGGGGGGATCGGCCGTCCCCTCGTCCCCTGAGTGGTTGGTGACCAAAAACACTTAAAGATATAAGTAAAACCAAACAAAAAGTAGTATAGTACCCAAGAAAAACAAAAAACATAAAAAAATAACCGAAAAAACCAAAAACAGTAAAAAAGTAAAAAATCAGTAGAAATCATCCCCCCAGACAAGATGTGACCCAACCCCCCCGTTTGTTGTTGATAGATATATTGTTGTTACAGGCATTTATATCAGTCAGGATCGTTACGATCAATTTTGTAGCCCGTTTGAGAGGCTTGTACTGTAGGGTTATTTGAGCATTTAAGCACGTTAATGATAAATTGCGCTCAATCCGGAAGGGTCAGCTGATTTGCGCTCAATTCGGAAGGGTCTTGGGTGAAGACCGATCCGGCAAGCAGTTCAAGGAGCAACCAGTGTAACATTCGCCCGGAAGATACATATCGACGGATAACAAAACTAAGTCTTAAGACGACTGGCTAGCGTCTAAACAGAGCTTTGCATGTTTTTCACCGTCTCTACCAAGCCAGTACTTTTCGGTGGTCTTTCCTACATCAGGCTGACAAAAACGTTACTGTTCTCCGGCTTCGACCAGAACGCTCAAATTAACTGAATTACATGCAAAGTTAGTGAGCTCATGGCTGGGTCTCTGTATCCCCGGACCACGAGGTCACTCCTAAAAACAGGGCTACTACTTATTATATTACTATTGTTTTTGTTCAGTAGATAAAAATCATCATCTCCATCGAAGATGGATCAACCCTTTCCCCCCTACTTCTAGCTCCTCATTCTTGTCAAAACGAATTAAGATCTTAATTAAATTCAAGTCAGGACATGACGGATACTAAAATTCAATATAAGTTCATAAAAGTCCACGTCCCGAGACCCTTCCGGATTCTTGAATCCGGTGAATCAAGCTTCTTAATATCCAGTTCACAATAACTCGGAAGGCTGGGTTTTACCCTTCACCGTTGCTCGCAACGGCCCCGCAACTATTGTAACAGCACAATAGTTGCAACTCGGAACGTCCTCTGCTGTTCGGTAGTTCGTTGTAGTTTTTTAGTCTCGATTTCGTACTGTTCGTAATCGCAGATAAAAGTTGTTCTGTTTTTTCTTGCTCTTTTAGCTAAAAATGGTTGTTTCTGACGCTTCTCAGAAACATGACGCCATAATTCGAATTTTCAAAAATTAGAATTCCAGAATCTTCTAGCCTTCACCGTTTGGCCAATCGTTCAAATAACGTCCTTATCCGTTCTAAATCGCCAATTCGGAAGGCTTGCTGCTAAAATACCGAATTCTGCAGAGACTGCATTTTGGCCATTCTGGTCGAATGTCACATACTCCCCGGACAGTCCGGTCAATGTCCTCATTGAATCGCGCAATGTTCTAAGTGGTTACAGTGTCATCGAACAGAATTTACAAAATGCACGAAATTACTTTTACCTACGTCACATCGACTCACTGCAGAATATAAATGGCATCATCCTACATCACTATAGCCTTCAAATTCTTTCATTAATCTGCACATTGAGGATATGACTTAAGATAAAACATATTTTCTGACTTCCAGTGTCAATATCCCGATTGAAACTTTTTCTCCTAGACTTAAAAGGTGTTGGCTTGCAGGACAGTCCTGCCAACCAACAAGCTAAAATTATCCTACTATGCTCCTTCCCTTCGGAAATCTTGCTTGTCTATTGTCCTGAGTATTAAAACTAAGAAACTTTGTGGTTAGAAAGAACAATGCAACAACCTCCCTCCTCAAGAAGTTACTCAAGTTTTTCATGTCACCACAAAGTTATCAGTCTTCCTAAGTGATTAAAAACAATCATGCAGGCTGGAATATTTAAATATACTCTTCCCTCAAGCCTTTCTAAATAAATAATAAGTGAGTGTCTCTAAAGCCACTTCAACTAAAACCAAAATGCAAATTTATAAATGCAACAATTTCCAAACTCAACTTAAATGTTTCAGTTTTCAATTACAACTTGGTTGCTTGGTTTCTCATTTGAGTTTTTCACACACATAAAACAATTCTGAGTTTAACTTTTCTTCATCATCCCTTTGTTCTCTTCTTTTTTCGTCGTTTAGAAGTTCTAAAACTTCTAAATTCTTCTAATTTTCTTTCTTGTTGCCTCTTGTTTTCTCGACCATTCATCAATGCTCCATTTCCTCCTCCTGTGACGCTGACTCTGCACTCTCGGTCTCCGTGTCTTGCAGCACGTCATTGACTATCCTGACGCTGTTGGAAGCCGTCCTCCAACACTTCTGCTCTTCCACCCTCTGTTTACAGCAAGGTAGGGGATCCACGTTTGATTCTCTGTTTCTACAGAAGCTGTTGTGGAGACACAACGCCACGTTTCTTTCCAAATCTTCTTTCAGCATCTCTGCCTTCTCATTTCCACTACGCTCGCTCGTCCTGGAAATTCTTTTCACAGCGGTGGTCACTGCATTCCGATGGGTCACGAAAGCTCGCTTGAAAGCTCCTGCCCCAATGTCCAGCTGATATTCACTGTACACTCTGCCATGTTTCGACATATGCTTTTTCGCATACTCGTACAACCATGCAGTCATGTTAGCTCTGAACCATGGCGTCAATCGTTTTCTTGCCCATATCTTCTTCACTTCCATCGGAATGTTTAGAACTTTGCACATTGTCTCAAAAAGATCTAAATCTTTTAGACAATCTAATTTCTGCAATTGTTCTCTCGTCGGTGCTTCCTGTCTATTATTTTCTCTCACATAAGCTTCCAGCCATCGTATCGCCATCATAACTCCCACTATCACTATTGTTATGGGCTGTGATGAATCTGGTAAACCCATGGAGAGCAGCTCTCCAGAGTCCCAGATCAACACCAGATTACTACGCTTGGGATACCACCAGGTCTGCAGCAAGCAGTGGCAAGGAAACTCATCATGCGTCAACATGATGCTCCTCCAATTACGTTTTCCCGAAGCTTCCAGCAATGGTTCCACTTCCATCATCACTCGGTGGATTTCATCATTCTCATCTACTGCATTGTAATCTGTGACAGTTGATCCTCTCTGTTTCTGTTTTTCAAAGTCACTGAAGTTCCCGCTCACATATCCCATGAATTTCTCTCCTAGTATTGACTCCAACTCTTCTTTGGTTCTTTCTGGAACTGCTGAGAAAATCTTACACAGTAACTCGTAAGACTTTTCAGACATTCTTGCCAACCTCACGCACTTCGGCACTGAAAAAGCTTGATCCACGATCGTTCTTGTGCTCTTCACGTCCACAGCCACGAAATGTACAGGGTATCTGCTCTTGCACATTGGAGCCAACGTTGAACCCACCAAATATCGTGCTCCTGATGGTCTACAATAAGTTTCGCTGTGTCTGATGTTCATCTCCGTTTCGATTGCTTCCCTCCATTTTCCTATA